GACAGTTCCTCAGAATTGCTTGTTTTTTGATGCCTTTCAGAGTTTTGAGGGTTGGGTGTCCTGTAGAATGTCCCTCGATTGGGTTTGGTCTGATATTTTTCTCATGATTAGACTGGAGTTATTTATTTTTGGGAGGAAGGCCAGAGAGATAAAGTTCCATTCTTCATCACATTATGTCAAGGCTGTATACTGTCAAGATGACTGACACTATTGATTTGTTGACCTTGATCACCTGGCTGAGGCAGTGCTTGTCAGGATTGCCTACTGTAGATTTACTCCTCCGTCCCCTCCCCCCACCCCGTACGTTTTGGAAGGAAGTCACTATGTGCAGCTCTCACTTAAAGAGTGGAGGGGTTATGCACCCTCTCTGTGAGGGTGGAGTAGCTACGTCAATTATTTGAAATCCTTCACAGATTTGTCTCTTCTTCCCTGTTTGTCTATTTATATCAGTATGGACTTGTGGATAGTTATTTTATACTTTAGGTCTAATCTACTACACTTTATTTTGTTACTCAAATCACTGCAGCTTTGGCCATTGGGGCCACTTTCCTTTGGCTCCTTTGTCCCTTTTACATATTCCCATCATTGTGGGATTTAGGGTAGGTTTTGGTTTTTTGTTTTTTTAGCACTTCCTTACTTGCTGGCACTACCAGCTATTCCAGACTCATCTTGTGTATTTCCTGCCCTAGACCTAGAAGCAGCCATTTCTCTGAGTAGTTTTGGTTCGTTTTATGGGGGAATGGTATTAGAAACCAAGATCCAGGGGTCATGTGTGCTCTCTACTGGGGCGTGGTTGTTGGTAGGCCAAGGAAATGTGTGTGGGTACTGACCAGTGTATTTCTATATATAACCATCTGTACTGATCTGTATTTCACTCAACTGAGTTTATCCCGATGTCTCCAACCCTAATTCAGTGCCACATGGATCATTCCAGCCTTCTCACTTGTTTGCCTATAACCTCCCACCGTGACGCCCCTACCGTCCACCATTCAGTTATTTGATTGTTCAGTTCCGGTGGGCGTGGATAGTGGCTTCAGAATCGGTAGCCCGTTACCTGTGCGACACAGTTTTTATCAGCCAGTGTGCACTGTTAAGTACAGTTCCTTTGCCCTTGGTCTTACAGACGCCACCATTTCCAGAAGTACTTCAGGGCGGCACCCCACCCCCTTCACAGAGGTCATTTCCTCCATTTGTTACACAGTTGGATTCAGGTGCCACATTTGCATTCATCCCAGGATCCTGACATCCTGAATAACTTTATGTTTGCATACGTTAGGATTTACTCTTTGTGGGTACTGACCCACAAAGTTCTGTGAGTTTTGACAAAAGCAGGTAGCACATCATGCGTTCACTATTACAGCGTCACACGGAGTAGTTTCCGTTCTGTAGAAGGAATCGCCTGCGCTTCACCTCTGCGGCCCCCTTCCACCCACAGTCCCCGGAACCCTTCCCGCTGGCTTCCTTCACTTAGAAAAATACAACTAAGGTCTATCCACTCTTCTGCCTGGCTCTGCAGCCCCTTCCTTTTTAGTGTGGAACAGTAATCCGCCGCACCGTCTCACGGACACACCGTCGTTGGTTTGTCCGCTCACCTGTCACAGGACGTCTTGGTTGCCTTCTGTCTCTGGTGAAACTGCTGCAAACATTTATGTGTGACTTTTGTGTGGATGTGTTTTCAGGTCAGTTGAGTACGTACTGGGGAGGGTGATTGCTGGGTCACAGGACAAGGGCTGTAGCCACACGAGAAGCTGACAGACTGTCCCCGGAACAGCTGTTCTGTGTTGCGCTCCCACCCGCAGGTGAGAGCGGCCCTTGCTCCACAGCCTCGCCAGCAGTCAGCAGCCATTCTGGTGTGTGTGTTGTGGTGTCTTGTTTGCATTTGGGACAGCAGCTTTCTTAATTCTTAGGTCCTGGATATTAAACACGGTAGTAATGAGCAATTCATTCTTTTATTTGTTTATTATGTTGAAAGAATGAGCAAGTGAAATAATTTTATTCAGTTACCAAAGGACTTGAATGCGCACCAGATTCCTAGGTGTCTCCTCTTTGAGAGAGATGCTTCAAGGCCCTGACACATGTTTCGCACACATAGGAATCAGTTGTGTTTCCTCTTAGGTGAGGTACCACATTCCAGGGGCTTCTCCATCACAAGGGATGATCTGAGCCCTCCTCTTGTAGTTAGCATCGCTGTCGTCCAAAGCACCCAGTGCACAAGCACCCAGGCTAGTCAGTGTTTCAGTGTTTCTTCAAGATCAGAGTTGAAGGGACGCCTGGGTGGCTCATTTGATTGAGTGTCTCACTCTTGACATCAGCGCTCTCTCATGCCCGCTCGCTTTCTCTCTGTCTTTCCCCCTCCCTTCTGCCCTCTTGCATATGTGTGCTCTCTCTTGTTCTCTCTCTGAAAATAAACTTAAAAAAAAAAAAATAGGTTTAAAAAGAAAAAAAGGATCAGAGTGGAGGATCAAATCCTGTGCTCCTGTCCTGTGTTCTGACCTGTGCAGGGGTGGGTGGCGGTTCTCAGGGAGCCTTGAGGCAGACAGAGTATGCTAAGGTATGGAACAGAGCAAAGAATCCATTTCCGTGTTGGAGCCCAGGTTCTAGAGCAGGGCTCCCAGCTGGTATATGGGGAACGGGCCACAAGTGGCAAAGACTGTGTCCCCCTCGTTCTTCAGGGTAGAGACCGAGTGCCCAGGGTCTTGGAGCCGCCGCACCTCGTGCCATAGAAATAACCTTTCCGTGAGTGCTGCGCTCAGAGAGCTGAGGAGTGCGGGGCTCAGAGCAGGTGTTCAGTCCATGTCTCATTTTTTGTCATCTTCCTGTGGTGTGCGTGTCTCTTCTTTTTTCTTTTTTTTCTTTTATACTGTGGTAAGATACACATAACATTTACTTTCTTTTTTCTTTTATGAGAGAGAGAGCGTGTGCAAGTGAGCGAGGGCAGAGAGAGAGAAGCAGGGCTCGAGCTTCCCCATTGCAGGACTCAGACTCACAAACCCTGAGATCATGACCTGAGCCGAAGTCAGACGCTTAACCGACTAATCCACCCAGGTGCCCCGTAATGTTTACTGCCTTAACCAGTTCAGTGGTGTTGAGTATGGCCTCGTGGTGTAGCCATCCATCTGCTTAGGAAGCGGAAACTGTATCTGTTCAGCCCCGATGCCCTTTCTCCCTCCCGCCAGCCCCTGGCAGCCACCCACCGACTCTGTCTCTGTGAGTTGGACTTCTCTGAGTACCTCACGGAAGAGGGCCCGGAAGTATCTTTCTCTCTGTGACTGGCTAATTAGCTTAGTGTGGTGTCCTCAAGTTTTATCCACGTTGTGTCTGTCAGATGTCACAATGTCCTTCCCTTTCTAAGGCTGACTGGTATTCCTCGTGTGCATAGACATTGCTTATCCACTCAGTGTGCTCACCTCACTTGTGTCTCCATCTCGTTATTCTTTTGCCTCAGTTTCCTTTTGTGCTTCTGCATACGAGGTAGGCTGAGGCCTAGAGAAACAGGTTGGAGTCCTGGGCCTTCATAATTATGAAATGCTGAGCAGCAGTTACTTAGTCTCTCTGAACCCCATTCATCATCTGTAAACTGGACCTGTCATTGTGGGACTTGTCTCCGAGACCCTGTTAGAGTGAAGCATGGCGCTGCGTGGAGAGGTGGCCCGTGCTCACTGTTTGTACTTTTGAGACTTCTCGTTCTTTTTGGCAGGAGGTTGAGGAGGAGGAGGAATATTCCTAAAGTGATTAAATCTGAGAGGTTTCCACCCACTGCCATGAGTGCCCTTCAGTGTCCCGTCCCGCGGTGTGCAGGTGACTCCTAGGCCGTGCTGTGCCCTGGACACCCTGAGCCTCCTGTGTTGAAGCTCTCTGCGTGACGCTGTGACAACAACGTAGCAAAGCTCTGGGTGCCTTGTGCTCCAGGGGTGCTGGAGTGAGCTCCTGCGTGTCTGCAGGGAGGAGGCCGGTGGGTGGGCCCGGGGAGCCCACTGTGCCCATAAGGGGCCCACCCAGCTCCCTCAGTGGGCTCTGGCTCTGCTGTTCCAGCTCTCACCCACTGCCCTGCTTCCAGGGGAGGAGGAGGAGGAGTCAGGAACAAGTCGTCTCCGCTCTGCTGTCGCCCAGCTCAGCTGCACTGTGGGGCCCGGCAGGTGTGCCGTGCCGGGGAGGTGCTGGGCTTCAGAGCTGCGTGTGGAGTGTCGAGAGGAGGTGTCGGATCTGTGGGAAGAGCTGGGAAGCCAGCCTATTGATTGTGGGCAGAGCCCTCTGCCACACAGCTTTTGAATCCTTTTGTGGGCTGTAGTGAGAGCCCGAGACCTCCACAGGAGTGCAGTTAGCCTCTTGTTAAATGCCGGGGACATCGTGCCGCCACGGTGGCAGACCTGGGGGCAGGCACATAAAAAGCAGTGAGGCCCAGTCGATGGGGTGTTGGGCTCTGTTTATGGATACTCCTGGACCTTCTTTGCAAAGACGAGACCCACCTGCCAGCAGTGGTAGAGCAGCCCTGTGACCGACCCTGTGTGTGTCGGAAGTGGCGTGAGGGGCTGATGGACATGAGGACCCCCTCTGGCCCCTTGCTCTACTGTGTGGGAACAACTACAGCTGACCCTTGAATAACATGGGTTTGAACTCTGTGGGTCCATGTAAATGTAGACTGTTTTTATAGCACAGCACTATAGATGATTTTCTTATCATTTTCTTCTCTCTAGCTTTGTTTATTGTAGGAATATGGTACGCAATGCACATAACATACAAAATATGTTAATGGACTGTTTTATGTTATTGGTAAGGCTTCTAATCAGCAGTGGGCTGTTACTAGTTAAATTTTGGGAGAGTCAAGAGTTATACGAGGATTTTTTTACAGTGGTGGTGGGGGATTGGTGCCCCTAAGCTCTGCATTGTTCAGGGGCAAACTGTAGTTCCTGATTTTTTCTCAGTGCTCCTCCATTTTCAAAGTGCCCTTTGGTTCTCTGGGTGAATTTGTATGTCTCTAATCAAATGTCATGTGATTACAGGGTCCAGTCTGTCCCAGGAGCAGCCATCCAGTAGCTCTGAGGAAGCGTCTGGAACAGAGGAGGAGGAGGAAGAGCAGCCCAGCTTTATCACGGGGCGGTGACAGCATTTGCTCCGGTGACCCTCTGCAGCCTGGCCCGTGCTGTGACCAGGGCCTCAGGAAACTGTCCACACAACCTGAGGGAGAAGGAGTCTGTGTTTCAACTCAGTTACCCCCTCCCCCCAGCACCTTGCTGGGAAGAAGCAAGTGGGAGCCCCTCCCGATTGTTCCCAGCCCCGTCTGTCAGCAGGACTCTGAGCCTGTGGGGCAGAGAGGACCGTCTCTTGGACACTTGGGGCCCTGCCAAGCAGAGTGCATCCATGTTCCTGCTGATGGGGGACACGTAATACCTTCTTCCCCTGGTCCCTGTTCTGATACTTGGACAGTGATGAGTTTAAGCTGGTTTCTCTGAAAGAAAAGTTTAGTAAAGAACAGAAACATTTTAGGTTTTGTTCAGACCTGTGAAGTGTTCTTCAGAGGCTGTAGGGAAGGCTGGGAAATAGTGTGACAGCGATGGTCCTGTAACATGGAGCTGTTTTCCAGGCTGAAGGAAGTGGCCTTGGCTCTGGGGCCAGCAACGCACCACAGGGTGCTTGACCTCCGTTTCCCTCAGCTCAGGGGCAGACCGTACCCTGTAATACATGCTGCTGCCTGGCTGCCCCCCCATCACAGTGTGGATCGGGAAGCCCCACGCTTGTGCAAAGGGAGATGTGAGGCTTAACCCAGGGCCGAGCCTTGGGAAGGGCGACTTGGTTTCTAAGAGGGCTTTGGGGAGAACAATGAAAGACTAGAAAAATAAGCAGGTTGAGAATCCAGGCTGGGCTGAGCCAGAGCAGAGTATGGGGATCCCTAGCCCAACCAGAAAGTGGGGGGAATTGGCCAAAACCTGCGTCTTCATCCTGCGGGAAAGGAGGGCTAAGTAAAGTGGGAGGGGGCCAGGGGCAGCCTTTCAGGCCAGCAGGGGGGACAGAGATGGTTTGAATGAGAGCCTTTGCTCACTTTTTGGATTCTTTATCTCCAATTCCAAGTTTCTAAGTATATTTTGTGCCTTTTACAGAGTTTGATAGAATTAAGCATATAGTGGTTTTGAGTGAAAAACTAAGAAGCATTTGACTTGTTTTTCATTTCTGCGGTATGGATCTTCCTGGCCCCGCCCTGAGCCAGGCGACATCTGTGATAACTTATGTCCTTTAAGCAATTCAGGCCACAGGAACTTTTCCTTCCTGGGAAGCTGAAATGGAAAATCAGCCCCAATAAATTAGCACGCCCTGCGGCTGTGTATTTTGGAACCTGTGTTTCTCTTGTCAGGGACTGGCTGGTTAGTTTTGTGCTGGTTTCTTGTTCTCCTATCTTAGAGCTGTTGGTCTGCTTATCTCCCCACAAGATGTGTGTCACAACTCTCACTTTGAATCTACAGCCTGGATATTGTGGGTGTTCGCTTGCCCTGGAGGTTGTCGAGAGTGCCGGAGCTTGGAGCCCGGAGACCTAAGTATTCTGGTTCTGACGCCGCCTCTACCTAGTACACCTGGCCCAGAGCAGATCATGAGGGATGGGGCCGCACATGCCAGAGCAGGTGGCAGGTGCCAGGCTGGAGGTCTGTGTTCTGCACCTTTACTGCATTTCAGAAGAGGATGTTTAGGTAGGAAATGTCTGTAGCAATTTCTGGCTGTTTTTAAGGGGCTGTCATACCTTAGGTTAAATGACTTTTGGTCTTCGGGGTCTTGTTTGAGAAAACAGAACAGTTAGATGTCATCATTGAGAAGGGAGTGGAAGATTCAGAGAACCCCTCCACCCCCGCCTCAAAAAGCCATGATGAGGGGGGAATCATTCAGTAATATCCTCGTTAATTGCCTTGTGGGTGGGGAAAAATCAAATTGATCGACGAAGGTGTGCGTAACTTGGTCATTTCAGGAAGCCTCACGTATAAGAATTCTGACTTCCTCCCCACACTTTTTTTAATTTTTTTTTTTTAATGCTTTTTATTTATTTCTAGGAGAGAGAGAGAGAGAGACAGCGTGAGCAGGGGAGGGTCAGAGAGAGAGGGAGTCACAGACTGAAACAGACTCCAGGCTCTGAGCTGGCAATCAGCAAAGAGCCCAACGCGGGGCTCGAACCCACGAACCGCGAGATCATGACCTGAGCGAAAGTCGGACGCTTAACCGACTAAGCCACCCGGGCGCCCCTCCTCCCCACACTTTTATTGAGCACTGCACCAGACAGTTCTGGGCCAGGCAACGTTACTTGTGTTAGAATACTTTGTCCTTCCATTAAGCAGCCTTACAGGTTTACCAGACAAGATTTGTAAACACAGAGAGGTCTGGAAACTTGCCCAGGTCCCCCAGCAAGTAAGTAGGTGGTAGAGCTGGCATTGAACCCCTAGCAGTGTGACTCCAGAGCCCACCGTTCTAGTCACTGCACCACAGCGCTGTGCTGCTCAGGGGCGAGGCTGGGGGTAGCCCAGACCTGGTGGTGAGCGGTGCCCAGGCACTGCTCTTTTAGTGCCAGAGCTGCAGACTGTAGGCCGCTCCTTCAGTAACCTCTGGGTGCATGCCCACACACGCGCACGTGCGATTATATATCATAGTTTTAAACATAATTGCCCCTTACTGCTCACAGGTCGTGTTTGTGCACTCACCTGCTCTCTGACACCAATCTGTACCCCAGGGTCAGCGCTTGTGCTTGTGGTGCTTTGTGGTCATTTGGTCATTTGCAAGTGTGCACAGAGGTGAGAAATTGGAGTTGCCTGAGGCACTGCTCCCAGCTGGGTTAAGAAAAAGCAGCGCTCTTCTTGTTCAGCTCAAACACATCTATTTAGTAACGGGTTTTTTTGTTTTGTTTTGTTTTTTTTGGCATTTTCTTGATTTTGCCATGTTTAAGTGGCCCCGAAGCCTAGTGCTCAAAGTATATTGTCTGGTGTCCTTTCCTTACAAAGTTGTCCAGGCACGAGTTGCAGTGCTGTTGGCTACAAGTTCATCGTTAATGAATCAATATAAACAAAAGCTTTTTTTATTTTTATCTTTTAAGATTTTATTCTTAAGTAGTCTCTATATCCAGTGTGGGGCTCAAACTCACAACCCCAAGATCGAGTTGCATGCTCTACCAGCCGAGCCAGCCAGGCACCCCCAACAGGAGTGCATTTGAACAAACACACATAAAACAAGCTTGTGTGGGGGCGCCTGGGTGGCTTAGTCGGTTGAGCGTCCGACTTTCGCTTAGGTCATGATCTCGCGGTTCGTGGGTTCGAGCCCCGCGTCGGGCTCTGTGCTGACTGCCAGCTCAGAGCCTGGAGCCTGTTTCAGTCTGTGACTCCCTCTCTCTCTGACCCTCCCCTGCTCACACTGTCTCTCTCTCTCTCTCTCTCTCTCCTAGAAATAAATAAAACATTAAAAAAAAAAAAAAAGTTTAAAAAACAAGCTTGTGTGTTAATCGATTGATGTGACCCAGCCCTGTGCTTCCCCAGACGGCAGCAGCTCCACAGTCGCTAATTAACACTCAGCGCTCACAGTGACTTTGCAGAACAGGCTACCAGGAATGATGAGAACTGGCTGTGTGTGTGTCCAGCGTGAGCGAGCCTGGGCTTCCAGAGAGCGGTGTTTCCTAACACGGGATTGGACTTGACTGGTGTGTTCCCTGTGTGAACGGTACTTATCTCCCTGGGCATCAGGAGCTCAACTCCTTAGTCCCACTTGGAATGCAGGACCATAGATGTCAACCCGGGAACCGGCACCCCCCACCCATCCTTAGGTCTTCCCGAACAGGCTCATATCCCACCATGTCAAGGTGCTTTTACACCCTCCCTCTCTCTCAGCCCTCCCCCTTCAGTGGGTAGCTCTCGTGGAGCAGAGAGCCCCGGAGTTCAGGCCAAGCCTCATGCCCCAGGACTTATGCACCAGCCCTGTTTGCCCTCCAGGTACAGGGCCTGGTGTGCCCTCTCTGTCCCTGGAGCCACTGCCTCCCCCCCACCCCCCGCCCGCCCCAACAACCACAAGCAGTTCTGGGGTCTCCCATTTCCGGCAAAAGAGCAAAGCTCCAGCTCCAGGTTCTCCACCTACTACCCCATTTACCTCCTCCCTTCTCAGCCCAGCTCCCAGAGTTCTCTGTGTTTGCTTCTGCCTCTTCAAGGTTTCACCCCCCAAACTGAAAGCCTTCAGTTTCACCACATCCAGCCCGTGGAGGCATCAAAGCCTAAACTCAGCGTCCCTGACAATACAATACAGCCTCCTGCCTTTCTTCCCGTCTTTCCCTGGCTGGCTTCTCCGCTCAAATTCTAAATGTTAGGGTGACCCAGTGCATCGCCTTTTGTCGTCAACACCCAGGCCCCAGGAGATCTTAATCTGACCCTGGGCTTTAAATACCATCCTCACTGATGTCTTGTGGGTTTGTGGCTTCAGCTTCCCTTTGGAGCCTCAGCTGGCGTCCATGCCCCCATTCCCCTCACTCTTGCCATGCCTCTTCCTGTGCTGTTGGGCCTCAGCTTTCCACCCACCCTGTTCTGTTCCATTCTCTTCCTAACACCCATCTCTTGTTTACTGGTCTGCACCCTGCCACACCAGCACCCCTCCCCTCCCAGCTCAGCTCTGAGTGCTGTGAGAGCAAGGACCTGCCTGTTCTGTCCACCGCCGTACCTCCAGCTCCAGGACAGTGCTGGGACACCACGGGTGCTTGATAAATGTGGGGTGACTGAACAGATCTATGACTGAAAGCAGGCGGGGAAGTTGCTCAGACCAGAAGAGTGGCCGCTACAGCAGGAAGAGCCTGAGCAGGTGCACTTGGTCGTGTCTGCTGGAGGCCACTAGTGCCATGGCCCAGGCCACAGCGGAGCCTGCCTCCCACATCCAAGGCTCCCTGGCCACGCCCCAGAGGCCACCGCATGGCAGCTCAGGCATTTGGGACAGTCACCCCAGCAGATTCTGCCATGGGCTCCCCCTGCTCCCCCCCCACCCCCCCGCCTTCAGAAACACTGGTTTAACCTATCAAGGACTCTTGCTAGCTTACTCACCTGTTTTCAACATTTATCTTTCTGGAAAAAGAAATTCTATTCAATTCAACTAATTCAATTGAGTTAGAGGAGCAGTGTTGCTTTTGGGAATAGGAACATCGCCAAATCAGTTTCGGGGTTGCACGGAAGGAGAGCTGTGAGCGCACCACTTCCTTTGGCCTTGGTGTTGGAAACAGGTGTGCCTTCTCCTCCGCTGTGGAAGTTTATGTTTAGTTTTTGGCATACTTGACTAATGAGAGCTACAATTACCATATTTTAATATTTAATATATTTCAGTAAAGAGAACACCCCGGCATGAGTCCTGAGGCAGTGTTCTTTTTCCACAGAATATAGCATATGTTTATTGAACACTACTAAAAGCTTAATCTGAAGGATTCCTGAGTGTACTTGGCTTAGCAATGGGGATGATAGTGAGCAAGACACAGGCCTTGCTTAACTTTAAGGAGCTCCAGATCTGATAAGACACAGACAAGAAAAAGGTCAGCACAGTTGCACACAGCACAGGTTACAGCATGGCATGTGACCCAGGCCTCAGGGTTGAGGGCAGGGCTGAGCTGAGCTCCTGGGTGGCCCAGTAATGCAGGAGTTGCAAGCTGAGAAGCAGATGCCCTGTCATGGCCTCCTTCACTAAGTGAAGGGGACTGGAGTTGATCTAAGGCCTCAGGGAAAACAGAAGGGCTCAGCGGGGGTGGGGGAGAGATGGGAATTTTCCACTTTGCAGTGTAGAGATTAGATGGGAAGGGGACAGGTGGAAAGTACTTGCAGTAATACAGAGCAGAGGTGATGAGGGCCTGAATTAGTTCGAGACTTGTGGAGACAAATGGGAAACTTCACAGGACTAGATGGGGACAGGAGGAATCATTATTGACAGCAGATCTGTAATGTCACCAGCTGCATAGCTGCTGGGACTGACACAGGTGACCCAGGACATAGAGCAGGCGTGTGAGGAAAGATGAGGAATTCAGCTGTGAACATGGCGAGGTGGGGCCCGTGGGACATGCCCTGCCAGGCTGGGGGTGACCATTTAGAGTCAACAGCCTCCTTGACACAAGGGGAATGGATGAAACCAGTCAGGGGGAAGTGGAGAGACACCCACATCTAGGGGGCAGAAGAGGAGGAGCCTGCACAGAGGTTAAAAAAAAGAGAGGTGAGGTCACCAGAATAAGGAAAGAGAGTTGTTTCTAGCTGGAAGGAGGGGTTCCCAAAGACAGAAAAGGGCACGGCTGAAATCTGTCCCAGAGCCAGCATCACAATGGCAGGCGGCTACAAAGGGGCCGGGAAGGAGATGGTGAGGACGGCTCATGTGAGAAGTTTGGTGAAGTGTGGGAACGTGGAGGAAGGAGAGGTTGGAAGGGTCAGGCTGAGTTGAAAAGGAGGCTGGGGGTGAAAAGCGGGTCTCAGCAGAATCCAGGAAGCAAGGTAGTCAGCTGAAAACTGGGTGAGAAAGGGTCAGAAAGTGAGAGATGTGAACTGAAGATCTCTTAAAGGGTAGGGACAAGGACTCGGCCATAGGAGTCAATGGCCAAGGGGACAGAACTATCTGGACTGGTTACGCAGTCCAGGGCAGCTGAGAGGCCATCTGGATGAAAAGACCCAGGGAAGGGGCCTCAGTCTTCACTGAATAAGGGTGTGCGTTGATGGGGAAGACTAGATCACACTCTGCCCCCCGGGATGTGCCTCGAAGAACTGGTCATTTTCAAGCTGAGGCCTTAGAGGAGGGAGCAACTTGCTATGGTCAAACAGCTAGGGAAACCACAGCCCAGACTGTCACCCAGACATCCCAACTGGTTGCTGTGAGCCTTTCCCTCACTTCTGTGTAACTCACACTCAACTGCCTGTGCACCTGAGGGGCCCCCCAACTATCAGTATCGTAAGTTGTACCTCCTTTCAGCATGGTGTCGGCGCCTTCCTTACTCTTCTAGGCGGGGGACAAAAGCCATTTTCTGTGTTTGGTTAAGAAGCTGACTCTGAAAAGCACAGGTAATTATGACTTAGATTTCCCTTCTGTCCAGGCCTGCTGGATAAATGTGCATGAGGGTGGAGACCTCACCGACTGGTGCCGGAGGCCTTCTAAAGGATGTGCAGTCACATCAGACTCCGAGGGTGAAAAGTTAAGCAAGTGACTGTGGTAGAAAGAATGTTCATCTGTGATGCAATTACTCTCGTTTACAAAGTGTCTTCTTCCTGTTTTCCACATCATTTTACAAAGAGCTATTGCTTTTTAATGATTTTGCCCTGTGAAATTTTGATGTTCCCTTTCCTATAGCCATCCATACAGTGTGTGTGCTGGGGCGGCGAGGTGGGGGCGGGGGGGGGGGTAATCAGACCCTGCAATTTCCCTTGGCTGTGGTGTTTTTAAGTGTCTTCCCGAATTAAAAGGTGTCGTTCCAGCTCTCAGCAATGGCTTCTAAAATGCATCTTGAGAGATAAATGGATTTGGCCTGACATCTGTTAACCTCTCCGCTTACAATTGTCAGAAAACTTGGACTGGTTGACACGAGTGGAATTTTTCTTTCATTTGGATAAATGTGTCACTGTGGATGTGGTTGTGACAGATGGAAAAATCCTATGTAGGGCACGCAGGACGGACTGTGAGGGGCCATCTAGCACAGGGATTGATGCGAACCCATCTTGCCTCTTAGTTAATTCTTCGTGGGCACTTCCTGAAAAACGTTCCTGTTTGCGTATCTCAGTATAACAGCTCAGCAGACATCTAACAGGGGCCCATCGAGTTGCACCCAGCTTAGGACCCCAGGTGTCTCCCTGGGTCTGTGTGGGTGGGGGGTGCAGCGGGGTGACCACCTGGCCAGCCCCTGCACACTCTAGGAGTGCCACAGTCCAGTCCATCCCGGCAAGCGGGTTTGGCTGCCTGAACGCTTCCCCAAATAGAGCCTCACCTTCCAGCCCTCTACCGCACCCTCACACCCGCCCGCCCTGTGGCCCGATGATGGGATACCTGTTCCCTCTCCCCACAGGGCATGCCCTTCTGGTCTCCCCAGCCCTCCAGCTGGCCCACGGCCAGTCCTGAGCATCCTTTATGGCTCACCCTGGGAACTCTGCTCCTTTTCTCTACTCGGACCCACACACTCGGGCCGAGCAGGGCTCATCCTGTCCTGGACCTGTTGTCCGGGGATCCAGGGACCAGAGAAACGCAGCCACATCATTCTGTTGTCATAGCCAGGCACAGGAGCGAGAGCAAGCGAGTGGCTGGGGGGAGAAGGAAGAGGGGGATGGTGAGAGCGAAGGATGCCCAGGCTTCCGGCCCCCTTCGCGGCAGCGCCAATCCGAGTGCACGGTGGCCCATGGCACGCCCGCCGGGGAACCGGAGAGATGCGCACCTTTTACCGGTTTCCGCTCCCCGGCTTCCGGCCGGGTGGTCTTCGCTAGAGATCCCTGCAGCCAGGGTGTACCCCAGGAGGGGCAGCGAGTCCCGCCCCTCCCCTCCAGGCTAGCCAGGTCACGTGGCCCGTAGCGCCCCCAAGGGCCAGCCACGTGACGGTGGCGCGCCGTTGCCTTGGCAGCGGCTGCGGTGGCCGGCGGGGGCGGGGCCGGCCGGGGGACCCGGCGGGACGCACGGAAGGAGGGAGGGGGCCGTGCTCAGCGCCCCGGCCGGGCCACGGGGCCACAGGGCAACACGGCCACGCCGCATGCCACAAGCCTGAGTGGGAGCGGAGCCGGCCGGCAGGCAGGGCAGCTCGGTGAGTGCTCGCCGTGGGAGGGGGGGTGGTTGGCGGAGTGGGGGTGGTTACCCCGCCCTGTTGGGGGACCGGAATTGCAACGGGAGAATCGGGGGAATCGACGCGGGGGAGGGGATGGGCTTTCTCCTGGGCTGGTTGGGATGGGGTGGCTGCGGGTTTGGAGGGTGGCCAGGTGACCCCAACCCTAAGGGATCTTCGGGAGGGGGTGCGGCGCTGAAAAGACTCGGAAGTCCGGAACAGGGGCCCGAGTGCGGGTCCTGCGGCTACTGAGGCTTCCCTATGGGAAGGGACAGAGATACAGGTGGACGCCTTTGGGAGACCCCTGTGAAGACTGCGGCTCCCCCCCGACCCCCCGCCTCCGTCTCCTGCGGGTGTGACAGAGTCAGGCTCGCCATTGTTCGTGCCCCAGATGTTTAAAGGAAGTTAAGACAGGCAAACCCCAAACCTCCCCCCTAGAAATGTTTCAGACAAGTCTGCCAAGGAGAATAGCTCATCGTTAGAGAGTCACCATTATTCTACAAGCGCTCTTTTCTCTGACTGCCCCTTATATATAAAAACAGACCAAAAAAAACCTCCGTGAATTTTAGCTGGGAGGGCATCCTTTGGAGCCTCTGTCACCCGGCAGAGATGTCAGTTTCCATCTTGCCCCACCCTACCCCTACCCCAGCCCAGAATGTGAGGACTCTGCCTCTCCTGGGGCAGGGTAGGAGGCCTGGCAGGAGGTAGGACACCTGGGCTGGGAGCTTAGGATGGATATGAATCCAGTCCAGGCTGCTCCCTCAGCAGGAAGCGGCCTCTATCTCCAGGACCCACGGGCCTGCCTCAAGACCAGGTTCCAAGCAGACAGGCAGGCTCCCTTCCTTCCACTCCCTGCCACTCAGAGGACATAGCAGGGACGAGACTGCCCAGCCACTACCCAGAGGCCAGTGTCAGCCCTCACTACCACCAAAGCCCTCCCTCTCCACCCTCCCAACTTGAGCCCAGCCCAGGCCCACTGATGGCCCCTGGGCTTCCCTCTTCTTCACCCCTTTGGAGGCGACCAGGCTCTCCTGCCCTTCCCAGTCAGCCAGCCATTTCAGCGGGCACCCGCCCAGACCACACCGACCCCAGGCTCCTGCTCCCTTCACTCACTCCTTCAAAGCCTCAGCACCACCAGAGTCCAGCACAGCCACACTGCCTGGGCTGCCTTGGGCTCCATATACTTCCCGCATCCTGCCTTTCGCCCACGTTTCCCTGACACCCACTGCAGCCAGCTTTCCTGCCGCGTCCCTCCCTCTCAGAACCCTCCCATATGGGCAGCATTTCGTCTTTGAGGGAGGGTCCCTTTTTGCCCGGTGCTGCCTTTACCATCTATGTCCTTGACCCCATCCTTGCTCCTTAGCAGGGACCTTCTCCCTGCCCAAGGCTGCTCCCTTGGCCCTCACACCCCTTCCGCAAAAGCAGCATTTAACTCATGGGGTGAGAATCACTCCCTTATGTTGCTCTCCAATCCTGGGCAGTGAGTTCCTTGAAGGGACTCACAAGATCCTCACCATTTTCACCTTTGATTTCTAAGTACCAAATGCAGTCTGACCTTAACGCCCAGTAAGCGTCTTTTGGGTGGAGAATGGAAAGACAGATACTCTGCAGGGGCAAAGGTTGTGCCTTTCACCCATCCACCCGCCATATGCTCACACCTATTGGCTCGCTTCTGTTGCATATGGACAAAAAAAGGAAAAGTCAATTTCCAAATGATGACATTCTAAATTATTTGGAGCTAACTGATGGATTAGTTAGTGAGCAAGGCTTCTCTTAATTTTCCCCAAAGGAAGGGACGTTCCAGTGATTGAAGAGCTGGAAGGCAGTGCTGCTGGCTGCAGACATGGCCGTGGGGCAGTGACCAGGGCTCCCAAGCCAACATTCCTAGAAACGATCTAGTAATGGGTATCCCCTGGCAGAAATAGGAGAGCACAGAACTGTTCCCTAGGGTCCTGTTGGCCAACAAAAGCTGTACCTCTGCAGCCGGGCAAAGAACAAAGAGGAAGGCACCCCAAAAGAGAGAGTTCTTCTCCACCTCCAGGACCTTCCCATAGAACTCTTTTAGAGATTGGTGTGGATAGATCAAGTTTGGTGCATTTCCACAGCCACTGACCCTGGTAAACACCCCTTATACCACCTACCTACCCCCAGCACTGCTCCCTAGGACCTAGAAACACTGATCTATTTGTAATGGCCTTAAGTAGGCTTTTTGTGGGGCCTTACGCAGGCCTGAACATACAAGTTGATATCTGATGCCAAGTGAGCCGCGAAGTGCTGATGCCCTTGAAGTCTGCCCTGCGGATTAATTAGAGCCGATCTCGGCATGCTGTAGCGTGGGCCGGCCCCTTGGGCCACATGAGACCGCCAATCCCCTATTTGGATTAGTGGAGATTTGGGTTTAAAAATTCACAAATCTTGACAGATTGGCCCTTCTGATCTTCATTTCGGGTTACTGTCAAACCTGATATCTACCTGTGATGACCTCAGAGGTCTCTGGTCTCCGTTTCTCTGTAAAATGTGCTCGTGTCAGTTGATGGATTCAGTTTTTCCTTTTGCTCAGGGTTTCCACCGCAGCCTGGACGTGGCTGTGCCTTCAGTTATATAAACCAAGTATTTCTTCAGGTGAACTGCACTGATTAAAATTTAAATTGGATTTGAGAAATTAGCCGCTGCTTGGAATTTTTTTCTTTTTTTCCTCCTGGTTGGACCCTGGACACTGAAAAGTGGTTTTGAGTCTTTGGGCCTACTATTTTGGGTTTTTTTTGTTTTTTGTTTTTGTTTTCAATTTTTTCAATTTTTTAAAATTTATTTCTGAGAGAGAGAGACAGCATGAGCAGGAGAGGGTCAGAGAGAGAGAGGGAGACACAGAATCCGAAGACAGGCTCCAGACTCTGAGCTAGCTGTCAGCACAGAGCCCAACACAGGGCTTGAACCCACGAACCGTGAGATCATGACCTGAGCTGAAGTCAGACACTTAACCGAGCCCCCCAGGCACCCCTGGGCCTGTTACTTTGTTGAAGACCCTTGTGAGAGTGGGGATGTCCCCCATCTGAAAATGCACACGGGCAGGAAGTTCAATATCATGCTCAGGATCACACAGTAGGGTAAAATCCAGGCCTACAAACTAGGTCCTAGGATCTCTGTAAATGCTTTAGCTCCCTATTCCCTGAAGATAGCAACAGATTGGAGGATTCCTTAGGTGCTTTGGGGCTAACCTTAGAATTCCATTCACCCACCAACCACATTTGTACTGGTGCCTTCCTGATGTCGGGATGGAAGGCCAGATTCTAGCTTTGTGGAGGGAGGCGCAATGGACACTGGTGGTTCCTGAAAGTGCACTCCTGACCCTATTCCCCCGCAGCTGGTCCCCACGATCCTGTGTTAGGGATCAGGGCCCCATACTCCCACTACCGCCCTGTGTCGAGATTATACAACAGGTCCCAGAGGTTAACTTGCTTGGCTTCTGGCTTTTCCAGGTCCCAGGAGCCCTCTGGGATGCCTGAGAGTATCTGCCCCCTGCCCCCAGCCTGGCTTCCACCATGAGCGCTGAGCTCAACGTGCCTGTGGACCCATCCACTCCCGCCTGCTCTGAACCCGGGCACAAGGGCATGGATTACCGGGACTGGGTCCGCCGCAGCTACCTGGAACTGGTCACGTCCAACCACCACTCTGTGCAGGCGCTGTCCTGGAGGAAGCTCTACCTGAGCAGAGCCAAGCTGAAGGCCTCCAGCCGGACCTCGGCCCTGCTGTCAGGCTTCGCCATGGTGAGTGCACACACGTGGTGGGGAACACGGCCTGCGAAACGACTTTTGCTGTCGAGATCCTATGATGCTTCAGGGAGCAAAGCACTCCCATCCTAGCCGCACTGGCAGTCAGGCTGGCTGCCAGCGATGGGCCCCAAGCAGTTACCTGGCAAGGAAGTCGAGAGTAATTGAAATAGCTTCAGTGTGCAGGGAGAGAGGTACCCGTCTGCCCCCCACCTCGGGCACCACTCAAGACTTTGGGAAGCTGAAGGCTTTAAGCAGGACTGGGATCGATGAGGGGTTGCTCAGTTTGGCCCAGCTCAGGACGCAGATGCCCCCCAAATGTGGCGTCTGGGGTGACGAAGCAGAGCCTCTGATCTGACTCCTGGCTGCCCGGCTGCCGCTTTCCTTCTGAGTCATTCCCCACCACAGGAGTCGGTCTCAGGCCAAACCACGGGCCCTGTGAAGGGCCAGGGCCGTGTCACCTGTTGACTCCAAAGCCCCTGACTCATATCCCTTCGGGGAATTGTCCAAGAAGGCAAAGATGGCCAGGACTCAGAGGAAGAACAAGGCACGGGTGGTGGTGGAGGGGAGGAGGGTACGCCTCTTTCTTTTCTTCTCTATTGGGTGGAAATAATTTTTTTCTTTAATGTAAAAACAATTGTCATTTTTCCAAAGCCCAGAGCCTCAGTTGTCAAAGCAGCAGCACAGAAAGTAAGCTATCAGGGTGGCCTGGTGCTTGCTCCCTGGTACAGGCCACCCTTAGAAAACAGACCTGTGTGGTCAGAGTGTGACGGAGGTCACCAGGCCTCGGGGCAAAAAATTTGGGTTTAGATCTGTAATTTATCTTATTTTTTTATTTGTTTTTAAACTTTTTAAATATTTATTTATATTTGAGAGAGAGAGAGGCAGGGAGAGAGACAGATCTCAAGCGGGGGAGGGGCAGAGAGAGATGGGGAGACCGAAGCACAGAGCCCAGTGCGGGGCTCAAATTCATGAGCTGTGAGATCATGACCTGAACTGAACTCAGACGCTTAACTGACTGAGCCACCCAGGCACCCCCACCCCCACCTTTTTTTAAGTTTATTTTTGAGAGAGACAGAACAGACAAACAGTATTAGCAGGGAAGGGGCAGAGAGAGAGAGGGAGACACAGAATCTGAAGCAGGCTCCAGGCTTCGAGCTGTCAGTACAGAGCCCAACATGGGGCTCGAACTCTGAACGGCAAGATCATGATCTAAGCCAAAGTTGAGCCACCAAGGTGTCCCTTTTTAACTTTTTTAAATGTTTATTTATTTTGAGAGAGAAAGTGAACACGTGAGCGGGGGAGGAGCAGAGAGGGACAGAATCGTAAGCAGGCTCCATGCTGACCATCAGCACAGAGTCAGTCCAGTGCGGTGCTCCATCCCAGGAACTGTGAGATCATGACCTGAGCCAATATTAAGAGTCACACACTTAATCGGCTAAGCCACCCAGGCACTCCTAGGCCAGTAGTTTAAAGCAAAGGCTTTATCTAGGTGTTGTGTTATATTTATTTATTTATTTTTAACATAATGTCAAAGCGTACAATCACATAGTGCACAACTTTGGCCTATAGTTATTTTCTCCCTGTGGTTTCCATCACATGCAAAAGATAGACGGTTTTCTCAAGCTTAATTGTATGGAATGCGGGTGAGACGTTTAAACAACACTGTGAAGGCTTGTTTTCCACTCGGCAGAAGAATTATAGTCTCACATTATGTTTGTCTGGCCTGCACTTGTGTTTTCAACTCTGGAAAACATACTGTGCGAAGTACTGAGTGACATGATGCAGTAAGACGGCTTCCTTTGTGCCTGGGGCCCGGGTCTCAGAAGTCACTTCCTGTCCATGGCTGTCTTTTTATTTTTTATTTATTTTTTAATTTTTTTAAATGTTTTTATTTCTGAGAGAGACAGTGTGAGCAGGGGAGGGTCAGAGAGAGAAGGAGACACAGAATTGGAAGCAGGCTCCAGGCTCTGAGCTAGCTGTTAGCACAAGCCTGACATGGGGCTCAAACCCATGAACTATGAGCTCGTGACCTGAGCTGAAGTCGGACGCCTAACCAACTAAGCCACCCAGGCGCCCCTGCGGCTGTCTTTTTAGACTCCTGCCTTCCCGACACTCGGGTCTCCAAACTTGGAGAAGCTTTACTGTCTTCTCCCGGCCAACGAAAGGCTCACCTAAGTTGAAGCCTCTAAAACTACTCGTTTCAAACTGGAAAACGGGTCCTGTGCATAAGGTTCTTTTTCTTTTTTTTTTTTTTATTTCTGGGAGAGAGAGAGAGACAGCGTGAGCAGGGGAGGGTCAGAGAGAGAGGGAGATACAGACTCTGAAATAGGCTCCAGGCTCTGAGCTGGCAGTCAGCACAGAGCCCGACGTGGGGCTCGAACCCACGAACCGCGAGATCATGACCTAAGCGAAAGTCGGACGCTTAACTGACTAAGCCACCCAGGCGCCCCACCTGTGCATAAGGTTCTAAAACCGAGGTCTAATCCTGGAGGACTGGCCTGAGACCCACCGGCAGCCCACAGGGGTGTGAAGTGGTCTTGGGTTGAAAATGGTGACCGCAGACCCCAGGATGGCAGGGCCTGGATGTGTACCACAGTACGCCGCCTGTCCTTAGCTTGGCAATGGCAGTCACACTTACCAGTGATCAGCCGTTCATTCCTTCAGCGTTTATGGGGCGTCTCCTCTACCACCAAAGGCTTCCTTAAGCACCCTGGGATACGCTTCAGAAGCGCTGCCGGGCCCTCGCCTTCTCGTCTAGAAGGTTCCTCTCATGGAGGCTGCCATAGCCTAATACGCACTGGAGATTCAGTCCTGACAGTGAACACTGGAGAGCAGCAGAAAGAGTGGCATCAAGACTGGGGGTGGGGAAGGCAGCAGTGGGCCCCCTTGACTAGATTAACGGGCCACCAGTGCCCCAGGTTATTATTCAGACTGTGGAGCAGCGTGGGGGAAGGAAGACCAGCACAGGCCATCAGCCAGTGTTTCAGCTCTGGAAACCGAGGCAGAACAAGGGCAGGTACAAGAAAGAGTGAAAAGAGGCGGTTTGCTAGGTGGCGGCTCCTCCCTGTTATGTTTCCCCTGATTAGAGTTGCAAAGCTATTCTTTTCCCCAAGGCGAGCACTTGGGCCTAACCTTAAGCCCATTTCTTCATGTTTATTCTTCTGCTAACACACAGAACCAGTGAACCGCGGCCACCTCGTAAAATCATTGCATAAACACATTGAAAAATGGCCTTTCGGCCTTTTCTCTCCATAAGGCAGAACAAAATGGCTTTCCTACTGCAGGCCCTTTCATTATCTTTGTTTCTTCCCTCAATGCCCTCTGTGTTCTACAACATCCTTTTGTGGAGCCATGTCCTTGGTGGTGACAAGAGCCTGCCCAGGCCACGGGGGTCACTGAGAAAAGAACACCCCCTCAACTCGTGTCATATGGCAACTGTAGGGAGCAGTGATCGCTTCTGAGTTTTGTTTAGCTGTGGTCCACTGGGACTGCCGTCTCTTCTTTTTACCCACCAAACGTTCCCTCTCTGCTGAAAGGAGGAGTCTCTCACTCTAGGAGGCGGTGCTTGCTAGAAGTTGTGAAGTCATCTTTCTTGTAAAATTGGAAAAACAGAATGGCTTAGATCTAGGAAGCAAACACAGTGAGTGGAAAAGCCTTCATCTGGTTTCTCTCCTTCTGCCTCCCTGTCCTCCTTTCTTGACTGGTCTGGTTTCTTACCTACGGGTACCTGAGAGAAGGCCCTTGGTGGGCCCGGGAGTCGTTGCCAGGCCTGGACTATGCCATCCACTGGGTGAGCTCCACGTGCTGAGGGGCAGGGGAGTGCCAGGCCACAGAGGGAGAAGTTCTCCGTAGCCTGGGTCTGCCCTGGGGGAAGTGGCGCAGGGCCACGTTCCCCAGCTTGCAGTGTGAATGGCACCTGGGGTGAGCAGGTCCTGCCTAACTGGCTGTAGACATTCACTACCACAGAGCTAGGCTGGGGCTTCTGGTTCCCTCTGTGGGTCTTTTTTTGCCTTTTTTTAAAAATTAGTTTGGGGCGCCTGGCTGGCTCAGTCAGTAGAGTGTTTGATTCTTGATCTCAGGGTCATGGATTAAAAAAATTGGGGGGTGGCACTTGCATGGCTCAGTTGGTTAGGCAGGCATTATTCTTGATTTCTGCTCAGGTCATGATCTCATGGTTTGTGGGTTCAAGGCCTGCTATGGGTTCTGCGCTGACAGTGTGGAGCCTGCTTGGGATTCTCTCTTCCTCCCTCCCTCTCTGTTCCTTCCCCACTTGCGCTCTCTCTCTCCCTTTTTCTCTGTTCCTACCTCACTTGTGTGCTCTCTTTCAAAAAAATTAAATTTTTTTTAATAAAAGTTTTTATTTTATCGAAACAAATATGTGCACCCAGTTGAAAACTGAAGTGGCTGCTGCAGGGCACGCAAGCCACCCCAGCAGCCCCGGCTGCCTGGCGATGCCCCCCCACCCACCCCCCACCTCCACCCCTGCTCCCCACCCCCCGGCTGGGGATCCTGCAGCGCCTCCATGCCTCTGAAAAACCTTCTCCAGACTGCTATTTCACGATTTATCCATCTCAGGCATCACCTATTGGCTTGGGCTTCCTGTGACTGCGGTTGATGACTCAGCTCTTTTCTCAGCCCAGCCCCCTGCCCACAGCCTCCCCCCCCACCATTGCCCTCATTTTTGTTCCCATTCCTGGCCTTTGAGATGCGGGCTTCTCCCCCAGGGCTTCTGAGGCTGTGAGCCACACCCTGTGGCCTGGGGGACCTAGGGAGCCTCCACAATTTCTTTTCCTTTTTTTTTTTTTTACTTTTTGAAAGGTTAGCTTTTAGTTTTTGAAAAACAGCCATTGTCTTGAAGCCACCTGTTCCTGGGGGAGGGGTGGCCTCCGAGCTGGGTCAGAGCTCAGCACCCGGGGCATATTCTGCACTCGCCATATTCTGCACTCTGTGTTCTGGGCTGGGAAGGCCTTCGGTGGGAGGTGAGCCCCACCACTCCCCACCCTGTGCTTTAAACTCCGCTGCACTGTCTAAATTTTTTTAAATGTTTTATTTATTTTTGAGAGAGAGAGAGACAGCATGAGCAGGGGAGGGTCAGAGAGAGAGGGAGACACAGAATCCAAAGACAGGCTCCAGACTGTGAGCCGTCAGCACTGCTCGAATCCACGAACTGTGAGATCATGACCTGAGCCGAAGTCACACGCTTAACTGACTGAGCCACCCAGGCACCCCTTGCCTGCACTTTCTAGATTCTTCCTTAGTGAGATGTCCTTTAGCTCATCAGAAAGCAGGAGAATTGGGAATCTGTGGACAGCTAGGTGGGCGCCCGGTACCCCATGTGGGCCTGTGGGCGCCCCGGCCCACTCGTCCGCTCTGCGTTGCAGGTGGCCATGGTGGAGGTGCAGCTGGAGACGCAGTACCAGTACCCGCGGCCGCTGCTCATCGCCTTCAGCGCCTGCACCACGGTTCTGGTGGCCGTGCACCTCTTCGCCCTGCTCATCAGCACGTGCATCCTGCCCAACGTGGAGGCCGTGAGCAATATCCACAACCTCAACTCCATCAGCGAGTCGCCACACGAGCGCATGCACCCCTACATCGAGCTGGCCTGGGGCTTCTCGACTGTGCTGGGGATCCTGCTCTTCCTGGCCGAGGTGGTGCTGCTCTGCTGGATCAAGTTCCTGCCTGTGGACGCGCGCCGCCAGCCTGGCCCCCCGCCCGGCCCCGGGGGCCACACGGGCTGGCAGGCCGCGCTCGTGTCCACCATCATCATGGTGCCCGTGGGCCTCATCTTTGTGGTCTTCACCATCCACTTCTACCGATCGCTGGTGCGTCACAAAACCGAGCGGCATAACCGCGAGATCGAGGAGCTGCACAAGCTCAAGGTGCAGCTGGACGGCCACGAACGCAGCCTGCAGGTTGTGTGAGGGTGTGGCACCCCCCCCCCCCAACCTGGAAGCCAGCAATGAGTGCCCTGCCTTCCGGGGAACATCACACATGGGGACGTGGGGATTCCCGGCAAGGCTGCCTGGACGCTGCCCGAGAGTTCCAGACCCAAGTCTTGTCCCCCTTCCATGCTGGAACACATGACTGCAGGATGCTCCCGCAGAAAGTGGAAATCTGTCGTTAAAAGAGAGACTCTGTTGCCAAGAGCTGAGAGAGAGAAAAAAAAAAACAAAAACAAAAACAAAGCCTGAGTCCTTGGGCCTGGGGATTCTCTGCAGCAGGGGACAGGGCTCCAGGCAGCACCCAGGGTCACGGGCAAGGGCAATCTCAGACATGTGGAGCTGGTGGCCAGCAGAGGCAGAGAGAGGCAGGGGAGGGGTGGAGGGTTTCAGAGAAGGAAGGGATTGCCCCGTGACACACGACTTGTGAGGTGGGTCTCCTGGCAGCCGGGAGCTGTGTCTGATGAGATGGGGTGCAGGCCCACAGCTTGGCCTGGTGCTTCCCTCCGCTGCCCTGGGGGGAATGGGTGGCCTGGCCCACAGGGGTAGGGCAGGAGCCTGGGGCCCGGGTCCACTCAGCAGGTGCTCAGCCGGCCATGAGGAAGGCGTCCCCGGGGGAGGCATGTCTGGGCATCCCACATGAGAGGCCTCTCGAGGAGACTTTTAGCTGGGGGGTGCCCTGAGGCACAACTGGCCCAGATTCTCTCCTCCTAGCCCGCCTGGAGCCCAGTCACAATGACCCAGCAAAGCCACCAGCTTGGGGAAAGGGCCCAGAGTCCTCCGTGTTTGGGCTATAAAATGGCCTTGGAGCCCAAGTCAGCTGCCCCTCCAGGCCATGGTTGCCAAAGTCACTTGCTCAGGAAGCAGAGCCTGCTTCCTGTTTCCCTGTGACCCCAGCAGGCAGGAGGGGGCAGCCCGGGGGACTTTTGTCCAGACAAGGCCTTTGGCTGGACCTGGCCAAATGCGGGTCCCAGTTGTAACGGAAGGTGAGTCCCCACATTGTGCTCCCCTGCAGGGACCCCCAGTCCTCCCAGCCACAGGCAGGGGCCCAGCTCCCACATGTCCATGGCCGTGTGCAGGATGCGTTCTGCTGTTTCCGCTAGACCAGAGCACGGGTTCTTGGGTGGTGCACGTACATACTACAGCTCAGCTCAGGGGTGAGCATGCCACGTCCTGAGCTGCTTTTGAAGACAAGGCTTACCTCACGGGCCAGCAGCCACTAGAGAGGGAGCCTTTTTTTTTATTTCATAGTCCTCGGACATCATGCTCCAGTGGCATTTCTGTGGACAGCTTACTCTCTGTGTGCCGAGAAACCCTGGCTGGCGTGGCGGAGGTTGCTGGGAATGTGACATACTGTTGAGGACACAAACCTCAACACACAACCAGAATGCCAAGGGGCAGCCTGGGAGCTCTGCCGAGAAGCACCGCTGTAAGTCAGGACATTGTGGGAGCCTGGGCAGGAGCCTGGAGTCTTCCAGAGGGCGTGTTCCTCGTGTCCTGCAGATGTCTGTCGGTACTTGCCTGCTCTCTGGTGCATGTCTGTTCTTTCTCGGAGCCTTGTGGAAAAGGCTTGTCTGGCTTACTCTGTATTTTCTTTGTGTCCGTGTCTGTAAGCCCGCCACTCTGTGTCCTGGATGAGACAGGCTGGCTTCTCCCCACAGCTGGGGGTGGGCAGTAGGCCCTTCCTCTAGCCCGGGCCTTTCAAGAGGGGCCATGCAGGCCTCACTGTCCTGGGCCATCTGGTGCCTCTGCCCCAAGTGTGCCAGATGTGCCAAGCTCCCTAGACTGGAAGACACCCCCTGGTGCCACATGGGCACGACAGGTGCCACATCACGTGTTTTTAACAATGATTGGAAGAATGTAATTCTTGTTCTCATTCATCCAGAGTGTTCTCCCAGCTCCCGGGGGCAGGGGGCCAAGCAGAGAAGTTTCCGTGGGGACAGAGAGGACCATGGGTCTGGGGACTGGTGGTCAGAGGGGAACCTTCAGGGTGGCCCCAGAGCTTCTGGGAGATGGATGATCAGCTGCTATTTGGAGCTGCAGGCAGGACTCAGCAGGCTGGGCTGGGGGGAGGGGAAGGCACGTTACAAGCTAGAAAGTCAATTTCTGGAGGTTTAACCTGATTGTGAAGCGTTCCAAGTGCAGCGGCCACTCGGTGGTGAGGCCACGCGGGCCGCCCCAGAGGCAGTGTGGGCTTGCCCTATTTTCCTCTGAGCAGAAACCCCCCACCCCCCGCAGATATGCCGGGGCCCTTTCCAGAGCGGAACACGGTCTCCACTTGGTACCTGACCAGAAGTTTCAAAACTCCAAGTGTTTCTATTCTAGAAACTGCGAGGGCAGGACGTATTCTAGTGTCTTCTAGGAAAGTCTGCCGAGGCTAAAACCCTGTGAGCCCGGATATCGGCAGCTGCTCCCTGTCTTGCGCTGATTAACTCATTATGCATGATGCCGCGGAGATCATGTGCGGTGTGTAACCCCCGTCCCGTGTGTGGGTTTTTAAAACAGTTGCCCTGGAGTGAGCTGAATAAACAGGTAAAGCTACGAAGCTCCTGGCTCTTCCCTAGCATCTGCTGTATCCTGGAAGACTGACTGCTCCCGAATCCCCTCCTGCCTCTTCCTAAGTGCTGGTCACCAGCCACGTGTCTCCCAAGGTGAGAATGGTGGACTGTTCTGGAATGGGCAAGTGGGATGCCTGGACACAGGGAGGTTTGCGAGGCTCCCTCCAGATGGGGCCCCTGGAGAACGGGGCATCTCTGCCTGCTGCTTCCCTTCCCCAGCGGGGCCCTCCCTTTCCAGAAACACAGCAAGGCGACAGCCCCCAGGGCTGAGTGCTGTCAGGACTCATCCGAACAGGATTGGCTCAAAGATCCCCCAGATGAAAACGGAGCCGCTGAAGCTGTGGTCCCATGGCACCTTCTCCATCCCAGGTACCTGTGGCTCTGGGGTCAGGAGCAGGGTCCAGCCAGCCAGGCAGCAGGGGTCCTTCCCCCCCCCCCCCCCCCCCCATAGCCCAGTGACACTCATGAGGACGCTCCCATTCTGTTTTGTAACTGTGAGCCACCAAAGGCCCCACCTAGGGAAGGATGTCGTTTATTTTATTTAACTTGCAGGCACTTGAACCTAGAGGCTCCTAGTAAACAGGTGTGCAAAGCAGCCAACGCTGCTGTATGGACAGGTCCTGCCAGTGCAGGGGGGCCCTGCCCCTGCAACCCAGGAGGACTTCGAGGCCCCCGGATCTAAAGCCTGTGTCCAGTGAGCCCACTCCATGGACCATTTCCCAGTGAGTGCAGCCAACCCACAGTCTTGACTCCATGCCCCCAGTAGGTGGAAAGGTAGGGTCCACAGAGCCCGGGTTAGGGGCTCCGTGGGGTGAGTGGCACAGGACTGAGCTGGGATTCCTTGTTAGACCCATATAGAACCTGCTGAACCCTCTTTCCAGCCCCTGATGTCTGCAGTGCCCCCATGGTCCCTGAGGACACGGTACAGAGCGGCCCTACATAAATCTCAACAGGGATAAGCCAGAGGATGCTTCCTGGACTGAGCTCAGCGTCCTCCTGCCCATCAGGACCAGCCTGGGTCTCCCAGCCCCCAGGTCCAAACAAATAAATGGCCCTGAGCTTCTTTAACATGTTTCCAAACAAGCCGGGCTGAGGCATATCAGCTGAGCTCTCCCTGACTTAACTCTGGAAGGGAGTGCAGGAAGCCGCCCTCAGAGTGGATGCTTCCACAGGAGTGTCTTCCCGTATGGCCCATCCCTTCTCGTAGCCGGACACTGTGAGAGCATTACAGCAGACACAAGCGTCTGCGCAACACACGAGTGGTGCTTGAGAGCGCACTGGATGCAGAAACGGACACCCAAAACGCAGGGTTAGCACCCCTCAGGCAGTGGCTGAACCATGCCAACCTGGCCTTCTCCCAGCCCCATCCTGGCTGGGGACACAAGGAATGGATGCTTAGGTGGATACACTGAACCGGATGGTCTTCATGGTGCAGTTTCGAGAACAAACCCAACACAGGGTCACCGATTTGAACGTGACCTGATGCAGCATGTCCTGAGGTGGGCTCCGTGGACTGTGCGGACCAGTGCACGGGATGCAATCTCAGGTGTGCTCTATAGGGCTGTCGGAAGGGCCCACCGTCAGGTCCGGTAAGCACTGAGTGATGCTAGGGGAAACGGGCTCTCCCGGCCCTAACGGGCCCCTCCCCGGCAGGCCTGGGCGTGCAGTGTCCCAGGCATACATCTCCCGTGGAGCCCTTCACTGGCAGAGCACCTTGCAGGCTCCACGCACAGGGTGTTCCGAGGCCCAGCCTGTCAGGGCGAAGGCCCCACAGCCCCCGTGGAGTAGACCACTCAGCCTGCAGCCCACTATCTAAATGCCCATTTGGGGTCTGGGAGGGTCATGGCCTTGGGAAGAAGCCGTCCTCTACCCCCCTACTCCAAGTGAGCTCAGGGAGCCCCCCGCCCTGCAGCCAGGCTCATTCAGTCACTAGAAACTCAGCAGCATCTCCGTGGGTCTCCAGACCATTGTCACTTCACAGACAGTGCATAGTGGCCAGTGACTCCCCCAGCTGACAGCTCATAGAAAGTTCCAGAATGATTGAGGACTAGTGCCGACTATGAACTTTTCTGGGCTGTGATAGGGCCCTAGTCCCAAAGTCTGGCACCAAGCACGTGGCTGACGACTGTATTTTGTCTCATAAGCAGCAGAAGAGGGCTGGCCGGGCATCCAACGTGAGCACCCCACAAAACCCCACTGTCAGGAAGTGAACTACACTGTGCCTTCCCCTACTTTTTAACAGCATGGGGTGGGGAGGTGGGACCAGACTTTCCGGAGACCTCTCTGTCCTCATTGCATCCCCCACCTCCCTGGGGTCAAGCACAACCCTGGCCGAGCCTGGCTTAGAGGCCGTCACCAGCTCTGAAGTGGGACATGATAACTTCAGATGTCCTGTCAATTCTCTTCGTCAACTTGCTTCCCCAATGAAAGGAGTGGAGAATGGGCTGTCAGGGAACTTCATTAAGAGAGAGGGATAAAGAAGAAAACAGTTTCAGGTGGTACCAACATGTTTAAGCTCAAATGACCCCACTTCCCTCAGACTGTGACAAGCCACACAGGTGGCCGCAGTGCAGGTCAAACAGGACTGACCCATCACAGGCACATTCCCATCACACCAGCCCCCGGGCAGGGCTTCCCCACTGCTGTGATGTCAGGGTGCTGAGCAGTCTTCTCTGAAAAGCTAAGAAGCTGGGGAGAAAGCCCCTTGTGCTGGGCTTCCCGCCCCTCCATCCTGGCAGGCAGCCAACCCTGGAGCCAGCGCCCCCGCCAGGCCCAGCGCCAGCTCCCAGCCCTGGGGACATGGCTCACATAGGTCTCCCTTGAAAGGAGAGAGAGATCTGCAGGAGTTCCTGCCCCAGTTCTTGCTGCCTCCCGCCGGGACGGAACTCGGCTGACAGCTCCCTGAAGGTGGCACACACGCGGCGGGCCTCGACATGTCTGCGGTGGATGGCGTGTTTCCACTGGTGCCGCGCGGCGCCCGTGAGCACGAGCAGAGAGCGGCGGGGCAAGGGGACGGCCACCTCCACCTCCTGGCATAGGACGGACCTGCTGGGGGCCATCACACCCTCCACCAAGGCCTCTGGGAAGCCGGACGGGGCCAGACAGAGCAGTAGGCTGCCGGGCGCCTCCCGGGACATGGACAGCACGGTCGGGGACAGGAGGTTGAGGCTCACCAGCCGCTCCCCCCACAGCCAGGCGTCGTCCAGGTGGGGGTCGATGGCTGAGCCCCGCTCAGGGCAGTAGTCCAGGTTACACTGCTCCACAGGCCGGAAGTCCTCCAGAATGGGGTACAGGCCCATCTTCCGCACCACCTCCCGGCTGAAACTGGGGAGGCCTCTGAAGCCAGCAGTCTTGAGCTTCTGTTTCCTGAAGTTGACTTTGGGGCCGTAGTCCTGAAGGGGGAGGACAAAAAAGCGGAGAAGCGTCTGAGTTCACAGGAATGGCTATTGCAGACCAGGGCTGAAGAAGCCGATCGTGGTGACCAAGACGAGCAAAATCTCCTGACTCCGTGGACCAGGATCCGGCTCTCCAGCGGGAGGCGCCGGCAGCAACGACAATAAACAGCCAACACTCACACGCTGGTAAACGCTAAGGGAGTAAATAAAGCCGGGAAAGGGGACATGATATGCCGGGGGGATGTGTGAGACCATGCGCCCCCCAAAGCAGAGTTGGAGACAGAAGGCCCATATGCAGCAGTGTGTTCCAGAACGTGAGGCCCAGGAGTCAGCACGTGAGAAGAAGGAGCAGCGAGGGCGGGGGGCCCAGCCCAAGGATGCCTCATCACGCTGATCAAAGCTGGGGGTCAGAACCACAAGCGAGAAGTTAGCGTGTGGCCCAGCTGTCAGCCTTCCAGCCACATGCCCAGCCCCGAGAACACAGCCGTGCAGACGCTTGCCACGTGGGTGTTCACGGCAGCACTAGGGCACAGTGGCCAGAAAGCAGAAACAACCCAGGGTCCACGATCGGACAAACGGATGAAGTGATGCTGGCAGATCCACACCACGCAATACTATCCGGCCGCAGACACAGCGGAGCTCCGCCACAGGCTGACAACGCTGTGGTCAGTAAGGGAAGCTGACACAAAGGGCCACATGTGATATAATCCCATTTGCGTGAAATGTCCAGAACAGGCAAATCCAGAGAGACAGAAAGTAGATTAGTAGTTGCCAGGGGACAGGGGAAGGGGGAGCGACTGCCAGTGGGTGCAGGTTTCCTTTGGGGTGATGGGCACATTCCGGAAGTAAGGCAGTGGAGACAGCTGTGCAACATCATGAATATACGAAAACAAATTGTTTGTACACGTCAAATGGGCAGATTTTACAGTGTGTGTATTCATCTAAAAAAACACAAAACCAATGATTGTTAGACAGGAGCCTTTTAGAAGACACCTCAGACTTGTGGCCCAAGGGATGAGCATTTATCCACTGCCTCCTGCCCCCGGGGGTCCCCTCTAGTGGAGGGTGGCGCTGTCTGATGGAAATGGCTTTCTCCTTCCTTCTCCTTCCGGCTTTGGCATGTCTCAGGGTGGCTGGGCACCCCCAGGCGGTGGCAGGCTAGAAAGGAGGGCTTGCTGATGGGGCATCTCAGAAGCAACAAGCAGCAGGGAAAGCCAGGGCTGGGATGGAAGGCCTGGCGGGCTTGGAGCAGAGCAGTGAGCCATCTGAGGGGGCATCAATGACGTCACCTTCCTCTCCAGTGGAAAGTGACAAAGAGGGGTGAGGGCCACAGGAAGCTCCTGTGGGAATCCCAGCAACAGAACTGGGGACTGGGACCTAAGATGGGGGCAGTGATGGGGGTGCTGTGTTCTCAGATCCCATTTGAAGGAAGAAAGCTGACAGGGATTACCAATGAAACACAGAGAGGAATCTGGAAAGCTCCATGGCTGCTGGCCTGAGCAGATGGAAGCTAGAATTTGCCGGGGACACTGCAGGGGTGCAGAGAGGGGGTGGATCAAGACCCAAAGCTCAGTTCAGGCCTGAGAAATATGAGAAGCCAGCCAGAGACATGAATGTGGGAGTCGCCAATACACGCTCGGTGTCAGAGCCGTGACTCATGGAGCGCAGCAAGGTGGGGTGTCCGGGAGGGAAGAAGCCCAAGGACTGAGCCTGAAAACTGGCCACAGAGGCCAGGATGGAAGCGCTGAGTACAGTGAGTGGGAACAGGAGGGGAGGAACTGAAGACCGAATAAACAACTCTTCTGAGCAATCGGCTGCAGAGGCGAGAGATGGAGCTTACTGGCAGCCTGGTAGAAAAGATCCAGTTGAGGCAAAACTAATGTGAGGAAGAGAGGGGAGCAATCCTCATCAGCTCCTTGAGTCAGAGGGTGGAGGGTGCTCGGCGGAGAGCCAGCAGGGGGGAAGGAGAGTGAAGGGGCCACCTTGGGGGAGACCGGCATGACCTCTGGAACAGGTGGCCCAGCTCAGGGCTGGAGAGCCAGAGCCAGGAGACCCCCCAGCGAGAGGAGCCGGACTTGACCAGGGCTGTGGTTTAGCAGAAGGAGGAAGACACCGAAGGGCGAAAGGACACGGGAGCAGCAGAGGAAGTGGTGTCATTACTGGCCAAGGCACTGAAGTGGGGAAGGAAAAGACCACAGGAAGGGGGAAGGAAAGAGAAGGCGGCCGATGGCTGGCTCGCAGGTCCTGGCCGACAAGCCTGCAGAAAAGAGAGGCTGTCATCCTTGACAAAGGGGAGGTCCAGGACTCAGAGGCTCAAGTATCTCTTAACAGATGGGAAGAGGACTTCAGTGGGAAGGCTTTCCAGAAACTCTGAGCTGAGCACCGGCTGCCTTACAGCCCCGCCTCCCCAAGTCTGGTGTGTCTGAGGAAGCCTAGCAGGCCGGGCTCTGCCCCTCCCAGCAGCAGCACGCCCACACACGGCTCCCCAGCTGCCCAAGCCCCAAGGTCAGGGGCGCTCGCCCCCTAGCGGCTCTGGTGAGGGCGTGTCATGGGCTGTGGCTGCAGAGAGAGGCGCTGGGAGGGAGGTGAGCAAGGTGCAGGGCAAGGAGTCTGCAGGGGCCCAGCAGGGTGACTCCTCTCTGAGCAGCCGGCCTGGCCCTACCTGCTTCCTCCGCCCAGACTGGGAGAGCTTCCAAGGCTCCCGGTCCATCAGCTGTACCATCTCGGCCTCTTCCTCCCGGGTCACGAAGTCCTCTATCAGCGTCACCCCAGGGAAGGGGAAGGCCCAGCCCTCGAAGTCAGACTCCTCAGCCCCCACGGCCCAGCCAGTGTCAGAGTAGTAAATGAAGCGGTGCGTTTTCTGCAAAAGAAAAGATGAGGGACCCGGAGCCACTGAAGCCCTTTGTCACACCACGTGTGCGCCTTCTGGAGGCCCCACTTGGGAGCAGCCCCTGCCCAGAGCTTCTCCCTCCCCTGGGGCCACTTTGGAAAGCAGGTGGAGTCGGGCCTAGGGGGTGGGAGGCCTCCCTGGGGCCCTTTCCTTTCTCACTTTCTTCGGCTGCAGGTGGGAAGAGGATCGACGGAACCATTTTCTGTTCTCTGTTTCAAAGGTGGGGTGACCCAGGACGAACAAAGTTAAGGAACCAGACGAAGGCTGCCCAGCCCGAAGCTGCCTGCGAGTTCACACTGTTCCAGCGTCCAGACACAATGGGGTGTCACCTGCCATCCCCAGCCTCTAAACAAAAAGACCCTGGGGCTGTCCAGACGGTGAGTACGCTGGGCAGCTAGAGGGAGAGGTGGGGGGGACTCTGGGCCCTGCCCTCCTCTGTGGCTGCACAGGCACTGCCCAAATGTCCCTTCAAAAGAGAGAACTTGCCAGTCATCCTGGAGGAGTGCCCAGCTGACCATCTCCTGCTGCAGTGCCTTTAGAATCTGCCCCAGGTTTCGGTCACAAGCCATCCTGGTCCCAGGCAGCCTCCAGTCAATGACCCAGTGCAGGTCTGGCTTTTCATACCCCACATGGGACTCCTCTACCAGTCAGTCTGCTCCGGAGCTCCCAGCTGGGTTGGCCATGACTTTGTCATGGCGGCGGTGTGGCAGCCTGAGGTCTTCCCTGCGCAGTTAATTCTGCTCCCTCCCCTTTTACATTTCATGGCCACTGCTACCCGCCCCATCTGTGAGCCACCCCCATCTGTGAGCCACCGTGTCCTCTGTCTTCTGGCACTTCACACGGGATATGTTACAATTAGGGAGTCATCCTGGACCTTCTGCTCCTCCCACAGCCATCAAGTTGAGCAAGTGCTTTACCACCACAGGGCCCTGTCTCCACACCCACGGTCACAGGCAAAGCTCAGACTTTTGGCACTTTTCAAGCTTTAATGGTGGTAAGGTGTGTGTATGTGTGTGTGTGTACCTACCTTCGTCACCATACCTTCACATTGTGCACCCACCTCCAGTGCTTTTTCATCTCGCAAAATGAAAACTCTATACCCATTAAACCACAACTCCTTCTTTCCCCCCAGCCCCAGGCACCCATCTTTCTATTTTCTGACTCTAAGGATCTGACTCCTCTCCTGACCTCATATAAGTGGAATCCTCCAATATTTATCCTTTTGTGACTGACAGTTCACTCAGTATAATGACCTCAGGATTCATTCATGTTGTAGCAGGTGTTAGAACGTCCTTCCCTTTTAAGGCGCATAATTTTCCAGCTTACATATCTGCCACATTTTGTTTATCCACTCAACCGTGGATAGATGCTTACATCACTTTCACTTTTTAGCGACTAGGAATAAGGCTGCTGTGAATGTGGGTGTACAAATATCTCTTCAAGTGTCTGCTTTCAATTCTTTTGCCATGTATACCCAGAATTGCTGGACCACACAGTAATTCTACTCCTAATTTACTGAGGAATCACCGTACTGTTTCCCACAGACCCTTGCAAGCTTATACCAGGGGCACTGTGACAGTTTCTTCATTGGCTTCCCAGACTCCATACTTTCCCATCCGCCCCTCCCCCTCCCAGGATCTTTCTAAAACTCACGTGTTAACTTACTTTAAAACCCTCAGCAGCTCTCCATGGCCCTCAGGACAAGTCCAGCCTACGCAGCGGCCACACACCGAACCCTCTGTGATCAGACCCCACCGACCCCTCCCCTCAAGCATCACCCTCCTTCCAAGCACACGCACCTACCCCAGGCCTTTATCTAACTAAGCAGCTCCCCCAGCGGGCATGCCCTCGCCCACTTCAAAGGTTCTAAGTCCCTTTTCATGAATTAACTGGAATTAATTTCCTCCTTGCCCACTTCTGCTCACTGGTTTCTACGACACTTTGCTCTGCTTGGTGTTAGACGTCCTTTCCTCTTTTCGGGTCGTCTCCCCACTCCGTGACGCTCCTGGCCCCAGGCACAGGGGCTACCTGGAAGTCCGCTGTCATACTACCCCCACCCCCAGGGCTGAGGGGAGTTGCGGTCAGGTGGCATCCACTCCAGCCCCCTCCCCAATCCAAACCCCTCTCAAAGCGCTCATCTCACCCTGCAACGCCCCCACGGCGAGAGCCCGGGACACGGGGTGATCCGGGGCCCGTCTTCGTAGCCAGTTTGGGCCTCAGTTTCCCCATCTGAAGAAGGGAGTTATGGCACGGTCCCTCTCCCAACTCTCACCTGCGGGGGGTGCTGCCAGGGCGGGTCACCTCCGCGCTGCCGCTCGCAGATCAGACAGGTCCGGATGCCCTTGCAGCCGCATTCCCGGAGGACTTCGGGGGCCGCCACCGCCGCAGCCGCCATTGCCGCGTCCTGGCGGCCAGAGCGCAGGCGCGAGGCCGCGGGGGCCGCTGGGAGTCGTAGTCAGCCCGCGAGGCACGAGGTTCGCTGGGCCGCTTCCTTCCGGTCGTCGCCAGCGACTGGCTCGCGCGGCGCCGCCTCCACAGCTCCGCCGGCCGCGGATGTTAGCATCGCTCTCCAGGAGGCACGGACTCGGCAGGACGCCGGTGCCGCCGACCGGCCAGCGGGGGTCGCGTCTCCTCGCCATGGGCCCCCTTTCGGCGCGGCTGCTCATGCAGCGGGGACGCCCCAAGAGCGACCGGCTGGGGAAAATCCGGAGCCTGGAGTAAGAGACGGGCCGGGGACGACAGGGATGCGCCGGGCCGGGGCCACAAGGGAGCCAGCCAGGCTTGCGTCGCCTGCTGGGCGTGAAGAAAGTCTGGGTCCCATGCCCACTCCCTCCCTGGCCCCGTTATCGCCTTGTCGGTAAGGCGGAGTCTGAGCACTCGGGCCAAACGCCGGGCTGCTGTTAGGAGAGGGGCCGGCTGGGCCTTTAGTGGCCTCTTCCCCGAAGGGAGCCTGAGCTGCAGGGGAGACAGTCCTGCGGGAAGGGTGTTGAGCAACCTGTGGAGCTAATTCCCGAGGCACAGGGCTGCACAGAGGAGCTCCCCTAGAGGGAAAGCGTTCTAGCGGCACCAGCTGTACCCAGTTGTAAAGTGGTTACAAGATTTTAAGAAGGAAAAGCTGTGCACGCAGGCGATCCTCTAGTAAAAAAGTCTTCGGAGGCACCCTGGACTGCCCGGGGTGGGAAGGTGGGAGCCCTGCCCCCCTGAGCCCTCGCTGTCTGCCCCCACCCAGCTTGTCAGGGCTGAAGCTGCTCTCGGAGCACTTGGACCCCAAGCTCCTGAGCCGCCTGACGCAGCTGCAAGAGCTGGACCTCTCCAACAACCAGCTGGAGACGCTGCCCGCCAACCTGGGCCTGTCCCACCTGCGCGTCCTCCGCTGCGCCAACAACCAGCTGGGCGACGTCACCGCCTTGTGCCAGTTCCCGCAGCTCGAGGAGCTGAGCCTGGAGGGCAACCCCTTTCTGACCGTAAGTAGGGGTCCCCACCTGCCCCGGACCCAGGGCCAGCAGGCTTGGGCTGACCCACAGGTTGACACTGAGCCACTCTCCCTCGTCCCCCAGGTCAGTGACAACCTGAAAGTCTCCTTTCTTCTGCCCAAGCTCCGTAAGGTCAATGGCAAGGATGCTTCCTCTGCTTCCTCTCAGGTGGAGAACCTGAACCGGGAGCTGACCAGCAGGGTAAGGGGGCTGGCAGGCTTCTCTGGTGTTTGGAAGCACGCGGGGTCCCTGAGGAATGAGCAGCTCTGGGGGGAGCCTGAGCGAGGGTTACAGGGGTGCTCTGCCCTGATACTGAGTGGCCCTTATCTCCTACTCTGACGTGTGGCTGAGCCTGGCTGTGGGGCTTGGTCTGTTGTCCTGAAAGGTCGGGGTCTCCAGGTGTGCAGGCAGGGCCTGGCCAGGGGCGTGAGACACTTTTGGGGTAACCTTACCCAGGGACAGCTCCTCTTCCTCAGGGCTGTTTCTCACGTGGGGTTGTTTAAGGACTGCATACGCTGCAGCTAAGAAGGCCGTGGTTCAGGGGGGCTCCCAGGAGGCGGTGAGCTAGGGACAACTGGGGCCAGAAGATTGGAGGCAGAGGTGCCACACAGGGTCCAGGAGATCTGGGGTGGGCTGGGCTTGATTCTGGTCCCTCTTGTGCCAGGTCACCGCTCACTGGGAGAAGTTCATGGCCGCGCGGAGCCCAGAGGAGGAAGCAGAGAAGGCCCAGGCTGACTTCGTGAAGTCAGCAGTCAGGAACATCCACTATGGGCCTGAGTCGCTCAGCGAGTTCACCCAGTGGCGGGTATGACCTCACCCTGCTGTGCTGGGAGTCGGTTCTCCCAGCTCCTCTGTGGCTCCCATGCCTTTGGCTGCCCTGGAAGCCTTTGGCCATGGTGGGGGTGTGGGGCGGGTCAGGGAAGGCTGACTTAGTGGTAGCATGGGAAGTACAGGCTCCCTTTGTCCCGGCATTGGGGAGGGGCTGGGGGTGGAGCCCCCTAGGACTGCATGAACCCAGTTTCCTGATGCCCCGGCCCCACATAGGTGCGGATGATTTCTGAGGCGCTAGTGGCCTCTGGTGGAACCCAGGTGCATGAGACAGGCATCCCGAAGAGGCCTTCAAAAGCCGCAGCCGCCCAGGAGCCCAGGGTAGGTGTGGTACCACGCAGCTCTCAAGGCTCTAAAGGCCTGTCTTGGCCTTTCCCAACCATGGGAGACTATAGAGGAGGGGAGGGGAGGGGCCCTGGAAATGAGCCCAGGAGATGGCCTCTGATGCCTGAGCTAGTTGGAGCAGACCTCCGGCCAACCCTGGCTTTCCACGCCCATGAGAGGGCGACGCAGAGGAAGGAAGCCCTGGGCAGACAGGCCCGTGGTCTCCAGGCGCTCTTAGCCCAGCCTCGACCCCCTCCGCAGGCCAGGCCGAGGGCCTTGAAACGGTCGGGTGACATCTCACTCAGCCTGTCTCCCACCAAGCGGGTGTGCACCTCCCCACTGGCCCACGCGGAGGGCCTCCCCGTGGGTGCTGATGGCAGCCGGGTAAGCTGGCAAGGGGGGCAGGAAGCAGCTGGCAGGGAGTGGGGGCTGGGGCGGCTGTGAACCCCACCTCTGCCCCCACAGCCCAGCCCGGACCTGGAGCCCCTGCACTTCCTGCAGTGCCACAGCAAGAACAACAGCCCGCGGGACCTGGAGACCCAGCTCTGGGCCTGCGCCTTCGAGCCGGCCTGGGAGGAGGGTACATCCTTGCGGGCAGGCAGGGCCAGGGCGACAGCCACGGGGAACAAGCAGGAACGAGCTTCCTAGTCAGGGGGCCGCCTTGGTGGATGGGGGACCTGAGACAGCTTATGAAGTGTCATCGAGGCCAGGAAGAAGGAACTGCCGGGGCAACCTTCACAGAAAGCATTTTTACTTAGGCTGACCCCTCAAAACAGGGCAGGCAGGGGCCACCTCGCAGACCGTGGCCACGTGTGGTGGGGAGGCCGTGTGTGTGATAGACTGCCAGACGGGCATCGTGCTGCACAAGTACAAGGCGCCCGGTGAGGTGAGTGCGGGGTCCGGATCGCGCGGGGCCGCCGGCAGAGTGCCAGGCTCAGCCACCTGCTCGCTAGGTGACCCTGCCCTGCTGGGCCACAGGCCACCTTACAGGCTCGTGCACCCTGCTCCTTAGTGATGGCACCCCCCACTCCCCACTTCCCACAGGAGTTCTTCTCAGTGGCCTGGACGGCCCTGACAGTGGTCACGCAGGCGGGCCACAAGAAGCGCTGGAGTGTGCTGGCGGCTGCAGGCCTACGGGGCCTGGTCCGGCTGCTGCATGTGCGTGCCGGCTTCTGCTGCGGGGTCATCCGGGCCCACAAGAAGGCCATCGCTACCCTCTGCTTCAGCCCCACCCACGAGACCCAGCTCTTCAGTAAGACCCTCTCCCACACCTCCGAGGTGTTCCCAGCACCCTGACGCCTCAGTGCACCCTCCCTGGGATGGTAGGGAGCTCCCGCGGCCGCCACGGTCCGCTCTGGCTGTGGTAGCAGCAGCGTGGCTTTGTGGACGCCTGATGGGGCTTCAGATCCTGGCTTCCCCCACAAGGTGCCCCATGGCCTTGAAGCTTTCCGACAGCCTGGGCCGCTCTGTGCCCGGAGTTGGGGGGTAGCCCTGTCCCCCAAGCGTCATTAAGCCTGACATGGGTGATCTGTGAGCAGAGGCCTGCTAAGATGACTGCCTGCTGGGGCCATGTTAGGTTAGGGCCACTTAGGGATCATAGGCCCTCGAGTCCTGGTCTCCCAGCGGTGTCCTGGCCTGCCTTGGGCTGGCCTCGTGACCGCAGCCTCTGCCTGGAATGGAGCCTGCAGGAGGGGGCAGGGCGTCTTCAGAGCCACCTCTTCCCTTCCCATCCCTGTTCAGCGGCCTCCTATGACAAGCGGATCATCCTCTGGGACATCGGGGTGCCTAACCATGATTATGAGTTCCAGGCCAGGTGATGATCCTGGGGGGCGGGGTGGGGGAGGGGCGGGCAGCTGCCAAGGGGCGGTGGCCTCACACTCCCCTCCCCTGCCCGCAGCCAGCTGCTCACTCTTGATACCACCTCCATCCCCTTGCGCCTCTGCCCTGTGGCGTCCTGCCCGGATGCCTACCTGCTGGCCGGCTGCGAGGGCGGCTGCTGCTGCTGGGACATACGGCTGGACCAGCCTCAGAAGAGGAGGTAAGGTCGGCCAGCGAGGCCTTGATGTCTGACCCCAAGCATGTCTGCCAGTGGTGGTGCCCAAGCCATTCTCTGTCCTGGGCAGCCAGAAGCAGTTTTCAGGGGCCTCTTCCCAAAGCTGGACTGTCTGTCCCCACCTTCTGCCATTCCTTCCCCAATGTTCAGTGGTGGGACCAGGGCGGGTCACTGAGCTGTTTTATCACCTCACCTCTGAGGGCATCCCTGCCCTTGTGGGGCCCTCAGCCTTGTGGTGGAGACAGGCATTAAAAAAGATGGCCCCGTTGAATGCCAAGGTGTAAGGTCAGGTACAGAGGAAGACTAAGGCATTCATGAGGAAGTGACCAGTGGCAGATAGGGTCCCCACATGAGCCTGCAAGGAGGCAGACAGGGAGGGGCTCGCACAGAAGCAGCAGTGAGAGCACAGGGCAGGGACAGCTGGCTGACCTGGGAGGTCTGGCCCAGCTTGGAAAGCTGGAGGAAAGGGCACAGGAGGTGGCGAGATTCTGTGGGCTGGGGACTCCAGCTGTCAGCCCCGGTAAGATTGTGATTTTTGTCCTAAATGCAGTGAATGGCTTGGGAAGAACTTTAGGGGTGGGTGACCGGAGTTAAGGCAGCTGCTACCTCGAGGCAAATACCAGAAGCCTCAGCACAGGCTGGGGCAGGTGTCCAGCCCAGTGCCTGTGGTGGCCCTGTGCCACACCTGGAGTTCAGCCCCGGGCCTGCCTCCTACCCTCTGCCCACCCATGTCTGCGTGCGGTCTGAGCCCACACTGGGGCCTGGCCACACTGACTGCCTGCCCCACCCCTGCCTCTCCAGACCCTTCTGCCCATGCCTCCACCCCGTCCTGGGAGAACCAGCGCTCCTGAGTTCCTGCCACTTGTGGCTGCATGCCCAGAGGGGCTGGCTCCCCTTCCCAGGCCAAGCCAAACCCCTCCAGGGCTTGGAACAGATCTTTCTGGTCACTTGTCCTAGTTGAGGCAGAGGGCAGGCCCAGAGGAGGTGCCTGGCCCCCCTCTCCTGTCTGTGCAGGGGTAGCTGACTGTCTTCTGCTGCCCCGCAGGGTGTGCGAGGTGGAGTTTGTCTTCTCTGAGGGCTCGGATGCACCAGCGCGGAGAGTGGACGGGCTGGCATTTGTGAACGAGGATGTCGTGGGTGAGTAAGCCCCGCTCAGGGACAGCCTGGCCTCCAGAGAGCAAGACAGGCCCTGGTAAGGCCTTTGTGGGTCACTTCTCCCTGGGCTTTTTGGTTTAAAACAGTATTTATTTTGGGAGAGAGAATCTGCACTGATGGTGCAGAGTCTGATGTGGGGCGCAAACTGTAAGATCATCACTTGAGCCGAGATCAAAAGCCAGACACTTAACCAACTAAGCCACTCAGGCGCCCCTTCCTGGGCTGGGGTTTAGCACGAGCCCCCCTGTGCAACAGGAAGTGTCTGTGGAGAGGGTCCCTGCCCCCCAACCACAGTTCTCCCCCACAGCCTCCAAGGGGAATGGCCTGGGCACCATCTGCCTGTGGAGCTGGAGCCAGACGTGGCTGGGCCGGGGCAAGCAGTCCACGTTGGCCGTGGTGGTCCTGGCTCGGCTGCAGTGGTCATCCACCAAGCTGGCCTACTTCTCACTCAGCACCTGTCCCGGTGAGCCACCCCCACCCCACCCTGCCCTCCAGCTCCCAGAACTCCACCCCACCTGAGCTCAATGTGTATGTCCTGGCAGATGAGGGCATCGTGCTGTGCGGAGACGAGGAGGGCAACGTGTGGGTCTACGACGTCAGGCACCTCCTGACCCAGCAGCCTCCGCTGCCTACCACGCCGCAGGCCCCAACGCAGGTAGGCAGCGCGTGCCCCTCTGCCGCCGCCGGGGCTGCCCTCTAGGAAGCAGGAGCCCAGCACCCCTCTCTCTTCCCCCCAGATCCTTAAGTGGCCCCAGCCCTGGGCCCTCGGCCAGATGGTGACCAAGACCATGGTGAACACGGTGGTGGCCAACCCCACCTTTACCTACCTCACCGCTCTGACAGACTCCAACATCGTGGCCATCTGGAAGAGACAGTAGCCAGAGCAGGGCCTCCTGCCTGGGGCAAACTTAACTTCTTCAGCTTGGGAGCTGACGATACGGAACTTTTTTTCACTGAATATTTTTATTAAAGTCTCTACTATTTGAGAAGGCTGGAGAGCAGTCTGTGGCCCTGTCTGACATTCCTAGTCTGAGGCAAGCAGGCCGGGAGCAGGGGCTCCTGGAAGTGCCGCCTCCCTGGCTGCCCCCCAGGTTTGCACTTGTCTAGAACGAGTGGTCACGCCACCTCCTCAGACAGAAATCAGAGTCTTCCCCTCAGAAATACGGCCCCCAGGTAACCGTGAAAGGGTCATCTACCTCCTGGAGCCTCGCAGTCCATGTGCTGGGAAGTCCCCTCTGCTTTAGCCCACAGCCGGGTCTCTTCCTGCCGCACTTTTATTAGGAAGGTAAAACAGACTCTGTGTACAGACACATCAGCTCTGGGGGAGAGCGGCTCACCAAAGCTGGGGAAGCTGCTCTTTTCTACTTGGGGCCTGGAGAAGGTTCCAGTGCAGGGTACGAACTGGCCGAGCAAGACTCCTCCAGCCGACTATTCAATGCCTTCTTGCTTGTCTTTGATGGCCACCTGAGCAGAGAGCGGTGCAGTGCACTTAGCCAGAAGGGCCGGAGGCGGGGAACTCACCCCTGGCCCCCCTCCTGACTGTGGCCCCACCCCATCCGCCCGAGGTGCAGAGAACACACACGTTGAGATGTGACAAGCTGTAGATCTCTCCCGCTCTATCTCGGATGTTGACTTTGAGCCCCTCTGCAGGGACAGGTGTGACTATCCCCTTTTGGCCTCCTTAACTGGGGGACCTCCACCCCACTAACACCCTGGAAGCAGGACCAGGCCTCACAAACCAGAGTCGTCAGCACTGCAGACACCTGGGGGAGGGGCCGCGAGGGCACGTGAGGAGAGCCTGGAGCACCTAGTAAGGTCCCACCCGCCCGTGCAGTGCAGACAGCAGGCTCCAGGCCGCCTCCCAGTGACCCACTCAGTCTGGGCTCGCTTGAGGCTGTAATCACAGCCCTGCTGTCACCATCTGCCCCCAATAAACCAGAAGACCAGCCAGGGTCGTCCCGGATGGGGGCAGAACACCCCCACTCACCCGGAATCGCTCTTCCAGCAGCGACAGCTCACTGATGAGGTCTGTGATGGCGTTGGTGAAGGCCTCCTGGGGGCTGTAGTCTGGGGTGGTCTGCACCCGGATGATGATCTTGTGCTCCAAGGGGTGAGGGACTTTGTAGCCCGCAAACAGCACCTGGGGGTCCTTCAGCAGCTGTCTGGGACACAAAGACAGCCAGTGTTACGCAGGGAGACTGAGCCTAGCACCCTGGGGACTCACTACCAGGCCCATGACTGAGGAGCCTCCCCACTGGGTAGAGGCCTACAAGCAAACACAGCCAGAGGCCGACCCCAGGTGCCTCCCTGAGCTTGGTTTCCCAAAAAGTTCAAGGGAAACCACATGGGGGCACCTCCCCCAAACACCTACACAGGGCTCCTAGCTAGCTGGCAGGATTTCCAGCAAACTCCCCTCGGAAGTCACAAGGGCCTTCCCTCAGCAGCCAGTGTTCAGTAAACACTGAACCGGGCACAAGGCCTGGTTCCCAGCCCGGTAAGAGTAGTAAAGGCGGCAGCGGGGGAATGGAGGTCCTCCGGGCCACACGGGCTGGCAGCTGCTGTTCACACATGGGGCCCCATGCTGCGAGGCTGAGCGGAAGTAACCCGGAGCCTGCGTGACACACTGGGCCCTGGGTGCGCAGGGGTTTCTCCAGAACAGCTCTGCCGCCACCGCCAGCGGCGAGAGGGAGGAGCCCTGCGCAGGTGGGGCCGTGCCTCACCCAGCAGGGGAGCGGCAGGGCCCCAGGTGGGCCCGGGTGCACCACTACTTGGCTCAGGGAGGCCAGAGAGAAGACAGGTGGTGGCCACGTCCACCTCCTCCTCTCAGCCAGGCAGGCTCCTGCCCCCAGCCTTAAACCTGCAAACCTCTGAAAGACCCGGCTTCACTGATGGTGCTTTTCAGCAGCGCACCAAGTCCTGGGTCCAGAACAGCAACCGCGTGAGGCCAGGAGTTCCCGGGCGTAAACAGCCACCCAGCCACCCCATCAGCTCTCAGGCACCAGGGGCGCCAGATGACCGCAGCCTTGCTCCCACACTCTGTCCGTTACAACCTCCGGCACGTATTCTCTTTGCGTGCCGGGTGTCACTGACGTCACTGTCACAAACAGGGCTGGGGGGGAGCTAATCGCAGCCGCTGCTCCGCGCTCAGCAGGCGCACATAAGTAGGTCTACTTTCCTGTCTGCCCATTCGCTTCCCTCCGTCAGCTACATAAGCCAACGCAGACGCACTGTCATGTGCAGAGACACAGGTCCGTGTCACTCCGGATGAAACATACGGGAACGTGTGAGCTGCTAGAGCAGGCACCCAGATCTTCCTGTAGCTCAGGACAACTGAAGGAATCTTCTCGAATTTGCACTTTGCCTCAGAGAGCCCCCTTAAACAATGCCCAAGAGCCTCTGACTTGGAACTTACGATTTAATGATGTTTCCTAGCGTGTGGTCTTCTTTGTTGATGGTGAACAAACAGGCATTGGGCACCTTGGTGTCCTTGTTAATGGTAATCCTGGGGAGAGACCGGAGCAACAGATGGGGTACAGGGGCTCCCTCCTTCACCCAAGTCTAAACCCTGCCCTTCAACTCTGGCTCAAGTGCCACCTCCTCCTGGAAACCTTCCTCAATCTCTTCAACCAGAAAGCCCTCTAACTCAGAGCAGCCGGGTGGCTATGCCCTGATTCTGCGGGACCCTCACCGACTCTGGACTGTTGTTTCTAAAGCAGAGTTCCTCAACCACGGCACCACCAGCATCTTAGGGTGGATAATTCATTTTTGTAGGAGGCTGTCTTGTACACTGTAGGACACAACCAGTAGCCCCTGTCCCTACTCATTAGTGCCAGGAGCACCCCCTTTATGAAACCAAACGTGTTTGCAGACTTTGCCAACGCCCCTTGGGGAACAAAATGGCCCCCAGTTGACAACCCCTGCTCCCAAGGGAGAGTGGCTGGCAAGGGCTAGACCACAAAGCCCTGCCTACCAGGCTGTTAAGGAAAAGCCAATGTTAAGGGTTTTCTGTGTACGGAGACCTGGTCTAAGCACTTGTCGTAAATTACCTCATCAAGCTTCCCTAAGAGAAAATCCTGTGACTGAATGAGGCAAGCAGCCAATTTTCCAGAGGAGGAAAGGGGGCCTCAGCAGACTGTCACTTGCCCAAAAGGTATGGAGACCTTAAGCGGGGGATCCAGGAGCCAAGCCCAGGCTGGGGCCACGAAACACCATGCTCCCCTCACGCTGCAGGCAAGGAGTCACCCAGGGCTAAGAGCCATCACTCTGGCTGCAGCGGGACGGTGAAAGCGGCGGCCAGGAAGAGGAATGAGGAGGCTGCTGGATCCCAGAGGAAAAGCGCTGTGGCGTCAAGTACTCTGGGTTCCGATACAGACCCCCACTTCCTGTGGGCCGGGGCAGTTACTTAGCCTCTGAGCCTCAGTTTCCTCCTCTGCAGAATGGGGTCACTCACCACCGCCTGGCAGGGCAGTCTCAAGTTTGGCAGACACAGGACGGAGCGGACGCCCAGTTCCGTCCTCCCGGCAGTGGACTAGCCGGAGGAGCCCCAGACTTTGCCCGCGACACGCGACCTCCGGCCCGCCTCAAACCCCCCCCCCCCGCCGGCCCGGCTCCACTTACTTCTTCTCGCCCTCGAAGAGCAAGAACGATTCGAAGGCGGGAGGGGCGTTCATCCTAGCGCTGCAGCCGCCTCCAAAGTCGCAGCAGCCGCCACCACCGCCGGCGGAATCCTATTAACACCACCTCTTCCGGGTTAGCGGCTGCTTCCGGGTTACTCCGGCCGGGCCGAACCCGTGTGAAGAAGGGGGCTGGCTGCTCTCTGTCGGCGGGGAGGATGTAGCGCAGGCACGAGAAGAGCCAGTGGGGCCGAAGACAGCTGGTGGTTCTGCGCATGCGTAAACCCGGAGTTCGCTCCCTGTGCCCGTTTTCCCGTGGGCGCTTCGGCCCCGGTTCGCAGTGCTGGGAACTACTCTGTTCCTACTGAGACGGCCTCACCGGGCTAAGCGGGAATGTGCCCCCTCCGCTCCCCATGCCCCTCGATACTTCTGTTTATTTTGGGCGGGGTTGGGGGCAGGATTCAAAGCAGGCTCTGTGCTGACAGCAGAGAGCCCCACGTGGGGCTTGAACTCAGGAGCCTGGAGATCACGACCCTAGCCAAAGTCGGAAGCTTAGAAGTCGGAGGCTTAACCCACCCAGCCACCCAGGCGCCCCTACTACAGTTTAGTTTAAAGGCCCTGCCTGAGCTGTCTGAACCAAGGGCCCGGGGCTCGGATAAGCTACAGAAGCCTTCGCAGCTGAATAGCCCCCCAAGGAAACCTAGAGCTTCCACACCACTTCCTGGGAGGGGCTGTTTCCTCCTCCAGCCTTGGGACCCTGGGGGTGAGGAAGTGGAGGCCAACACCAGCCTCCAAGCCAGGCCACACCAGGCTAAGTAGGTGGGGAGCTCCTTAGCTGGCTAGAAATGGAAGGCAATGAGGGTGACAGTGCACTGGGGCTGTAACCCCCACCCTTCTGGGCCATCCTGGGAAAGTTTGGACCAAGAATGCTACTTAACTGGGCTGGGTGGGAGGAAAGGGAGAGAGGCTGTCATTTTTACCCAAACGGTACCTCATTCCCTGCCTGAGAGAACCTGAAGGCATGGGGGTACATGGGCAGTGTGGACAGTGCCAGGCACTTCGTTAGAACCCCCATCGGGCTGCAGCAGCTGCCCCACCAAGGCAGTGGGTGACACCACCAGGCAGTGTGTATGCTGTTAGCTTCTTCTTGTGGCAGCCCCTTATGTGCACACCTCTTTCCCCTTCATTCTGTGTTAGGGCACAGCAGACCCTGGGGTCCATCCTTCCTGACCAGGAGGTTCTTGAAACCTAAGGAGATTCAACAGGTATGAGGACTTGTGTGAAGCCCTAAGGAAGTAGCCAGAGAACAAGGGGCTGCTGGGGGGGAGGGCGGCGCAGGCTCAGCACCCCGTGCGCCAAGAAGGGAAGGGGAGACCGACCCGTCAGGCTCTGGAGCCTTGGGGGATGGAGCACTGGACCCAGGGGTGTGGTGGGGACGGCAGTTGTGGGGAGAAGGGAATCCCCCCAGGATGTGGGGGGGGGGGGCACAGGGGATACATAAGGCTTTCCTGGTGGCCCCAGTCCTTGGCCACCTGCAAGGCACCACCGGAGTCCCCAGGCCCACTCCCTCCCCCGACCCCCATCACAAGACACCAGAGCCCAGGCAGTCATAGCAGGTTTATTGTCAGCGACAGCACCGCTAAGCTCTCCCAGGGGGCCCAGGCAGTGGCCGCAGGGGAGCGGGTAGGGGGGGTGGCCAGGGGCAAAGGGGATGCTGAGGTCGAGGCCTGGCCTCCTAGGCTCCGTGTCCCCTCTCCCACATCTCCGGGGCCAAGGAGCAGCAGTCCACCAGGCAGGGGCCATCCTAGGGGTGGTTTCTGTCTAGGTCTGTCCTGGCAGGCGGGGTCCCTGGGGTCTGGGCCAGCGGCAGCGAGGGCCGCAGCGCCCGTGGGGAGCAGCCAGGCTTCGCAGAGACGTGGGAGCTCTCCAAGTCCCCTAGAGACTTGAGGTGGGCTACCATGGGCCTTCCGGACTCCCTGGTCCCCCCCCCAACTCACCCAGCCCAGGAGAGCCCTGAGCCCTGCTCCCCAGGGAGAAGGACTGAAGTGAAGTACAGGAAGCGCACTGGGGGGGTCTCCAAGCACCAGGCAGGGGGCTCGGCAGGCAGCGTGGGGCAGGCCTCACGTCTGCAGCTCCAGGAGGCGGCTGGGCTCGGAGGGGGGCGAGCTGGCAGGGCTGGACCTGTGGGCCTCCCGGAGGTCCCGCAGCACCCGCAGCAGCTGGCCCAGTGGGTCCTCAGGGGCTGGAGGTAGATGCGGGGATGAGGGCGGGGCGGGCAGGGCCTCCTGCCCCTGGGAGCGGGGCCCCGCCCACAGCAGCCCCGAAGGGAGCTCAGGCTGCTGCCAGAGTCCAGAAGGGGCGACCTACCTCCGTCAGGGCCTGTGAGCACGGAGCCTGCCCTGGTGCCTGTGCTCAGCTCCCGGTGCTTCTCCCTGCGGGGGAGGGCAGAGTGAGGGCTCCCGGTGCCCTCACCAGGTAGGCTGGGTGACCCAGTGTGGGCCTCCTGAGCTGGAGGGGGGCCTCGGGAGTGGGGGGCTGACCCTTTCCGTCTGTGGGGAAGAAACCGAGGCCCAGGTCTTGGTCCCCTGGTCCCCTGCCACTTTTCCTCTTCCAGCCTCCTCCTCTGGTCCTCCCCACATCCGAAACGGGGGGCGGGGGGGTCAACAGAAGGCACCCCTCCTGTTTCAGAGGGCCCTGGGGAGAAGGGCCAATTGAGCCCTGAGAATCCCCAGTATTAACTGGCCGTGGAAACAGCTTCCTTCTTGTGGGGACAGGAAACTGACAATTCGAGCACGGTTCCTACACGGGGTCCACCAGAGAATCCCGGGCCCTCTCAGGGGCAATCCCGTGAGCCTGCATGGAGGGAGCACGGGTGGCCACGTGGACCCCACACTTGAAGTTCCTTAGCTGGGAATTGAACTGGCCTGGCCCTTGTGATGGTCTCCCTGATCCTTTCTGGAAGAGATGTGTCCCTGTGCTGAGAGCTAACGGCTCCTCTTACTCAGATGCCTTCCAGGTCCTGGGGGCTCGGTCTGGGCCCTTACCTGCTCCACCCACTTACTTATTCAACAGTTACTGTGGGAGAATTCATCTGCACTGGTTTTGGCCACCAAGCGCCCAGTAATTGGTTACAGCAGCCACGGGAAGCGGGTACAGCAAGGGCTAAGGACAGGCCACCGAGTCAGTGGATCAGAGGTGCTGGTGGGGCAGGGGGTCTGGTGGTGTGGGTGACAAGGAGGTGGGCGCCACGAGGAAGGTGGCCAAGGTCTGGAGGTGGGGCGGGCTCTCCAGGCAGGTGCTGTGGTTGGGACCGTGGGTCCTAGTCCCACAGTGGGACCACCTGAACCAAAGGTGGCTTGGGTTTGAATCTATGCCACTTCCTGGCTTAAATGGGCGATAACTGTGGGTTCCAGGAAAAGAGCAGACAAGGTGGTGGCCTCATCCTGTAGGTGAAGAATGAAGTCACCGAGCAAGGGGGCCAGAGTAGGGGTGGAGAGGGAGCTGGTGACAGGGCCACACCATCAGAAAGGAGGTGGCTGTAGAGTGGCCCGGAGGCTACTGTGGCTCACAGGGGAGCGAGCGGTTCTAATCTGAGTGCATGAGCTTTGAAGGTTTTTGAGGGAGAGAGTAAACTGCTGGAAACCAGGAAAAGTCACGGAGGAGAAAGGACAGTAGCCACCCCCCCCCAGTGCCCTGGGACAGGGGTGGGGGAGAGAAAACTGCCCCTTCCCGGCAGACTCAAGGAGGCAGTGCTCTTCGGAGGCACTGGGCTCTGAAAACTAGCCCCTGCTGGACGCCTCCTCCAGGCGTTCTGAGTCGCTGGGGTAGGGCCCCAGCACCCCGTTTTTTCCTGAGCTGGAGCCGGGGCTGAGAACCAGGGCATTAAACAGGTGGCCGAGGACAATCGCTGCACCCCAAGAGCACGACGGGAAAGCTGCACAGGTTAGGAGTCCGGGGCTTCTGCAGCCCATGGACCTTCGTCCTAATGTGAGGCAGTCTCAAGCCGCAGACACCTACGTGCCCCTCCTCAGGAGTGGCCGCCAAAGGCAGGAACGTGCTAGGCCCGATTTGAAGGGGGACACCAGCCACACAGAGCAGCCCTGAGCCCGAGTCCCAGCTCCGGGCCTCGCCTGCACATTCCCTGGGGCTGCATGGGCCTCCTCACCGCAGGGAGGGCTCCACACCCAGCAGGTGCCGGTAGATGAGCTGGGCCTCCAGGTCATGGTCGAGAGGGTCATTCCACTCCTGTAGGGTCACCCGCGACCGGGTCTTGTCACAGCCCAGATCTGGGGGCACAGAGAGGGCAGGGTTGTGGGCGGGCCCTGTGAGAGCTTACATCCAACTTTGTGCTGGTGCTGGTGGTCACCAGGCCCAGAGAGGGACAGGAATGGGCTCAGGGGCCCTGGGGTGGGGAGGAGGGCTCCTCTCTCTCAGGTTCAGCTCCTGAGCCCTGGGACACACAAAGGCAGAGCATGGGAGGCAGCACAGGAGACAACTCGGGGGACTGGACAACCTTCTGGAAGGAAGAAGGGAGCGGCCTAGAGCTGTAGGATCGCAAGAAGGGAAGCTGAGGGGTTTGTGCCTTGGAATGAGCTGGCCCTGCCACTTGCTGGCTTTATGACGTTGGCAGAGGTACTAGCCCTTGTTAAGCCTCAGTTTCCACCTCCATAAGATGGGCTCCCAGACTCTGCAGCCTAGTACCCCAGGGAGCCCCCTTTACCAATGACAAGGGTTATCACCGAGAAGGTCAAAGCCAGTGGCTGCAGGTCAGGCCAACCAACCAGCAACACCCTGGGAAAGACCTGCAGCTGCCCAGTCCCGGCCTGGAGACGGCGGGGGGGGACGACGACTCCAAAGGCTGAGCCTCTTCTGTGACTGGGGAGGAAGAATTTTGTGAAGCAGATGGAGGTTAAGGAGGAAGATCTTCACAGTTCCAGAACTGAGCTGTCTGACAGGGTAGCCACTAGCCTCCTAAGTCCATTTAAGTTTAATTAAAACTACAGAAAATTAGGGGCACTCGGGTGGCTCAGTCTGTTGAGCATCCAACTTCGGCTCAGGTCATGACCTCGCGGTTCGTGGGTTCGAGCTCCACATTGGGCTCTCTGCTGTCAGCACAGAGCCTGCCTCAGA